AGTATTTTGTTACTTATTTGGATACATAAATATTGTTACAATAGGGGTATCGAATACATATGCGCCACACAATACACTTCATTTGTGTGTGTGAGCTATGATACTACACGGATATTCAGACCGATACAGGTGGTTTCCTTAGAGAGCAACACACGAAGCCTTCGATCTTAAATTCTGATCCACAAGGCAGTGGAACAATGTCAGGAGATGCGGTCTCATGGTAACCGGTTACCAACATTTGTTTCATACACCATTTGTTCATTCAGGATACTGGAGCCCATATACACCATTAGATTGGAATCAAGATTTTCTAACTTCCCTAAATGGATCCTCTATATCGACCAACACGGTTAAAGCACCTGATGGATATTCGTTTTTCTTCCTTTCAATTTCATAAACAACACACCTGTGGTGCGAGAATGCAGTGAGTAGGACTTTCCTATCAGTGATTGTATACGCGTGTCCATGTGAAATCATTTTGTGAAGGAGAGAGCTAACTCTCCCAACCTTCAGTTGTACCAGGTCATTTTCAATCATTTTCATTGTTTCTCATTTAATTCATTTCATAATAATATTATAAATTTATAAAAATATTCTTATTTATAAGGTAGTTTTATATTGTATGAAAATAATATCTCCCACAACACCTCATCCACCCCCCATCTCAACCCTCCCCCGTCAACTAATTCTACGCTATCAGTCAGTCAGTCAGCTGAAACGTAGGACCAGGCACGTATATGCATCGGTCCAAGTTGCCATACCGCATTAGCACAACAAGATGAACACCGGATTCATAGGAGTAGTTAATTCAGTGGTGGTAATATATAGAAGAAAGATTGTGTATAAGGAGATAGTACAGGAAGAAAGAATTAGATCCTAGAAAGATATGAAGCGATTTTAATCTCTTAATTTAAGGAAGACAGAGAGTGTATACACCTACGCCATTGTGATCGATTCTGAGCCATGTCACCAAGAGTCTCCAACCATTGGTTACGATAGTCACGCGGACCCCAACCAGGCAGTCTGAATATTCCAACATGGCTCAGACCAGAAGTTAGTGACTTCAAGCACTGATGCCACTTTTTGGTTTGGCCGCCCCTAACTTTCTTCCAATTATCCCCTACACTGGTCAGCATTGCGCGTCGTGGTAATCGGTGTTCAGGCATACGCAGAACGTGGCCTAACCATCTCAGTCGATGAAGATTCATAACCTCATCAACTGATTTACCATCATTCCCTAATACCCTGCGTCTAACCTCACTATTACTTACCCGGTGATCGCAGCAGATACCCGCAATATTTCTAAGGCACCTGTGGTCAAATACTAGTAACTTACGAATATCTTCTACTCTCAAAGGCCATGTTTCGCAGCCGTATAGTAGAACGGAACGAACTGACGCGCAGTATACTCGTCCCTTGATTGATAGACGGTTATCTCGCCTTCGCCATAGATGACGTAAGTTGGCAAAGGCCAAGCGAGCTTTTCGAATCCGTGCTGAGATTTCGTCAGACACCAACCCGTTAGGGCTGATCAGACTTCCAAGATAAGTGAAGTTGTCAACGCGTTCGACTACTTCACTCCCTATCCTTAGTTCAGGTGTTGATGCAGACCAGTCCTGAAGCAACAACTTGCATTTAGAGGGAGAAAAGCGCATCCCAAACATTCTAGCATTGTTGCTCAGTGCTACCAAAAGACTCTGCATTTCATCAGCGTCTTCACCAAACAGGACTATGTCATCTGCGTATTCTAAGTCAATAAGTGGACCTCCTGGTAGGAGATCAATACCCGAGAATTCAGTCGATGAGAGCGTTATTTTCATCAGGATGTCTATGATAAAGTTAAACAAAAAAGGATAAAGTGGACAGCCTTGACGGACCCCACTTAAGGTTGCAAAAGCAGATGACAGTTCGCCATAGGCTCTGACCCGACTAGTAGTGTTCGAGTAAAGAGCTTTCACAAGGTTTATGTACTTCTGAGGTACGCCTTTCAATGACAGACACTGCCACAGAACCTCTCGGTCAACAGAGTCAAACGCTGCTTTTAAATCAAGGAATACCACCATTGTCGGACGCCGATAAGTATGCCTGTGTTCTAGAACCTGACGAATAGTGAATATGTGGTCAATGCAGTCACATCCAGGTCTGAAGCCAGCCTAGTTTTCTCATGTTTGCAGTTCACGAGTCCGATAATTATTGAGACTAGTATTTTAGATTCTATATTAGTCAAACTAATCCCTCTATGGTTGTCACAGGATGATTTTGACCCTTTCTTAAATATTGGGACGATAAGTGATTGTGACCAGTTAGATGGGATAACGTCTAACTCCCAGATTTTAGCTAAAATATTAGTCAGCCTGGTCGCTAAAACTAGACCACCATCTTTAAAGACCTCTGGGGCCAATCCATCTGGACCAGATGCCCTTCCTCGTTTCAGATTAGCTATAGCCTTTTCAACTTCAGCTAGAGATGGGGGACCTACTTCAATGTTCCATTCATACTGTCTAGGAATAGAGGGTAGTTGTAGAGTAGCTGAAGGCCAGCTAAACTGCTCCTTAAAGTGTTCCACCCATCGTTCTAAGCGTCTGGACTGGGAGCAGATGAGAGTGTCGTCTTTTTCCGAAATAGTCTGACTTACATTTGATTTATTAATTCCAGTTTCTTTTATTAGTCTGTAGAGTTGTCTTGTGTTCCCTATAGCCGCCGCCTTTTCCATCTATTTTGCTTTCGTTGCCCACCACTGCTCACGATCGTTCCTTAGACTTTTGCTTAACCTAGATCTGATTTCTTTACGCTCTTCATCGTGTTCAGAACCTGATGGGATGAGTTTACGAGAATCTATCAGTGCAATAGACCTTGCCGAAATCCATTGGTTCTTTGTAACCCTGTGGTTTAAATCACTGGTAGATGTCACTGCTGTTTCCACAGCTGCTTCTATAACTTTCCAAGCAACATCTGGGTCAGTCTCGTTTTCAGAGCTACCTAAGTGTGATCTCAGTTGTTCCTGGAACCTACTTTTGGCTTTCTCATTACTCAATTCGGTTCTAATGAGTCTTTTTTGTGTGGCTCTTTTGCGTCCAGTGTGGCGCAAGCAGATGCGTGCTCGTACTAGGGCATGATCAGAGTCCAAGCAGGCACCCCAGAATGAGAGACAATCTTCTATTGACCCTCTCCAACGATGACTGATGGCAATATGGTCTATTTGAGTCCATCGTTGGTTTGGTGCAGGGGGTCGCCATGTTAGACGATGTCTCTCCTTATGCTTAAAATTTGTGTTTGCTAAAAATATACGATTGTTTGAGCAAAGTTGCAGCAGACGATCACCATTATCTGTTCGCTGTGCCGGAATACTAAAATACTCACCTAAATGTCTTTCTGTTTGGTTTAAGCTACCTACCTGGGCATTAAAGTCACCTCCTACGAGTACTATGTCTGAACGTTTAGCTTTCTGAAGAAGTTCAGACAGCTTTCTGTAAAATTCATCTTTCACTTCATCCGTACTGCAGTCAGTGGGAGCGTAAGCAGAAACGACGAAAAGGGAACGACGTGTGTCCCTATCCTTTCGAGTTCTTACCGAGCCGTTCAGCCGAACAGCGCATAGACGACTATTAACTGGGATCCACTCTAATAGCGCTTGTTCCGCCCTCATGCTAAGTGCTATGCCTACACCTGCAAGTCCACGAGAACTAGCCATCGGGTCGCCAGATACACGGAGAGTGTATCTCGTTGGCTCTCTGTTTTGCCGAGGTGAGGTCAAGTGAATGACCACACTAGGATCCTGTATGCGTGTTTCGGAGACACAGCATACATCAATCGTACGAGATTCTAAGGTTTTAGCCAAGGAAGCCTGCTGACCGATTTGGCATAGTGTGCGTACGTTGAAGGCTCCAATGTGTAGTTTGGAGCGAGGTTTCAGTAGACCTGGGACAGTGTTTTGAGCACTAGAATCGTTGACTGTGGTGACACTTGAGGAGGAAGCTAAAAGAGGAAGTTTAGTGTATAAAGTCGATGTAGGAGGAATAATAGGAATTGAAGAGGGAGGTTGACTATGAATACAGTGGTCTTGAGTGCTGTTAGAGGTATGAGGGCGATTATCACTTCCCGGTTGCCCACACCGTGGAAGGGTTCTGCTGGGGGTACCTGAAAAGAAAATTGGATTAGAGGTGGTCATAGTGACCTGAGAGCGTGACCTCAGTGCCCAAGGGACAGCTGCTTGAGGTCGGTCACACACGACCTTTTTATGAGTAGTTTTAGTGTTAGCTCCGTACTTGTTGAGTCCTTACCGCCGGAGACGGATATCCGTGGGATAAGGCGAGGTGTTCATTTTTAGGGTCGACCTTTTCTAACCCCTCCCCTCCTTGTGGGAAGGCAGCATCGCTGTCATGCTGGTTGTCTGAAGGAAACCCCTTACTGCTGTCACACCTCTGTACAGTCAGCAGTACGACTTCGCCTTCGGACCTTGGTTTTGTTGCTTCTAGTCTTACCGCTCTTCAACCGACCTGTCTGGCATGGTAGGACCTTGAGGAACGGTTGTTCCAGCCAGTATAGCTCAGTTGCTTCATCACGATAGGCAAGCCCGACCACCACGTCAGGGTAGCAACAACGGTCAGGCTAATTTGAAGTCTGGTAGACGCCATAGAAACAATAGATACTCGATGATTGAATAATTGACTAATTGAAGAAAACAAAAATAAAGAACAAAAAAACGAAAACAACGAAATACAATCACATAGTAACTATACTTTCTGAATAAATTCTGATTGATAAAAATGGTTTACAGTTAAAGTATTAGACAAAATCTCTATATAATAACAATAGATACCATGTGATAAAAAGGAATCCATTAGTTACTAATAAAGTTGTTTCTAAGCATATCATATTGCTTAATAGTATCATGTGTTCAATGTACAAATGTACTTACATCTATGCATAGATAGACCCAGGTATCTATGTATATATATATATATATATATACATATATATTTCATAAGCCAAATGATATATGATAACATATATGGTAAAGTAATCTTAGAAAGGTTTTCTTTTATAAAGTAAGTAATTTTGGGAATTCCATTGAACATTGATTTATATGATTTTCATAAAAATAGAAACTAAGTTCGTGTAAAATAAAAAGCTGATTAGTAGTTAGCAATAATAAAACTTAGATATGTGTTTCGTCCCATTTTAAGGCTCGTCAATTGAATGTACTTACATCAAAATGTTGATGTTCACTTTAAAACAGAAACATAGTAACGTTTACTTCAAACATTATCATCATTTGATTTCATTTAACTACTGATTTCAAGTAGTTAATAGATTGTTTAATGAATTAAAGTTTTAATTCAATTTTTGTATTGGTTACTTGAATTTTATCATTTAAATGTTAACCCACTGTATAAGGAAATGACTATTAGGACTTAGTAACTAAGTGGATAATGTAATAGAGTTTGAAGTGAAAGGTTTTGCATTTGAGTCTCAGGGTGAACATCAATTCTGTAATGCAGATACATTCAGCTGATGAGTTCTAAAAAGGACGAAACGCACGTCCTGGATTCCACTGCTAGGCACTATCCATCTTTGTTTTTTTTAATAACTACTCAGTGTGTATATATATACACTATATTGACTAAAGTAATTTGTTTAAATGAACTACCATTATTCCTGTTAACTTCTTCATATGTCTTACTGATTACCGTTTTGCTAAATGCGTATGTTTGTATACACACCTCATTGTGAATTTGTTCGCTGCTCGTTCTCTAGTTATTTCAATAGCGATCTGTGAAAGATGTTTTAGTTTAGGTTATACAACGTATTCCTTATCAATTACACACACAAACATATTGGATCTATATATTGACATCTCTGGGAATTACTTCGTTAACATTATCATAATTGTGAATATATATATTTATTTAATAGTTGAATTGATGAGTCAATGGAAGCTAGACAACTATGGAAAACCTGAAAGTACTGGACGCCTATTTAGTTCTATTGGGGTTCATGATCTCAACCAAAAACTTAATAATCTCTACAACCCTAAACTAATCATTACCATGTGCTCATTAATGAATAGCTTCATGAGGGAATTCTCTGCCTTCTAGTGAAATACCGTGACCAGTGGAGTTAATTCGCATTAGGTAGAGACAGGTATCTACTTCAGTACAATAGAAGATGGTCACGCAATTTCATGGATTACTTGAGGTTAGACATTAACACCGTCATCCAACAATGTTAAACTCAGTGGTCTAGAGGTTAAGCATTCGCACTTGAGATCGAAGATCCTTGGTTCGAATCCCACGGGGGGTTGTCCAATACTTTCAGGTTTTCAATGTTGGTCTTACATCAATCAGTTCATAATTTTAAATAAAAACAAAATATACTACTAAATAAATATAAACAATTAAATGAAATTATATGATTGATCACTAAAAGAAAAAGAAAACACAATAAATCAAGTAAACACACAAGATAGACAGACAGAGCGAGAGAGAAAGAGAGAGAGAGAGAAGAAGAAGAAGGAGAAGTATAGGAAGAAAGAATGGGAGGGGGGAAAGGGGAATATTGTTTACTTTTTTCTCATAAACTATGTCATTCACAACTACTATTTTATTATTTAAATCGTCAACCAATGGGTTAGATTCATAGGGTTATTTTGTTTTCTTTCAACAATATCTAAGTATATATGATATACTCCAATGTGAATAATAAATGGTAACTATTGGGATTTTATCATAGTGTTATCCTATACATAGATTGTTATGGTATCATTGTTAAGTAGATTTAAACTATATATATATATATATATATATATATATATATATATATATATATATATTCATATGGCCACGAGTATATTGCCACTGTCAGGGATATCCGTTGGCTAGATACTGTCAGTAAAAACTTATTATGGAAGCGAATAAACCAACTTGTAACTGACGAAGAGATTAGAAAAAGACATTGGAAGTGGATAAGAGACACATCAAACTGGATCACAAGGAAAACACTAATTTGGAATCATGAATGGAAACAGAAAAGAGGAAGGCCAAAAAAAAACACTACGTCTGGAATTGGAAACATGCATGAAAAGGATGAATAGTAATCGCAGCTAACTGAAAAGGATTACCTAGGATAGGGTTGGATGGAGAATGGTGGTAGGTGGTCTATGCACCTTTAAGGGGTGTAACAAGCGTAAGTAAGTGAGTGAGTAAGTAAGGGATGCCTTACTTAACATCTTCTCGTGGCAGGGGTGTTGTATATGAAATAGCGACATGTCATAGCAATATATTTAATTATTGTTAATTCGTATACGTGTACTTTTTTACATTGTGTTAAGATTCTACGTGTTTTAATTGTATCCCAGATAAATTGAATTCATTATCAAATCAGTATTTCGTTATATATCAAGGAATCATATACATATATTCACAGGTAATCTATCTGACTACAATAAACTTAATTATAACTATTTGTCTATACATTAATTTTATATTACTATTATGTTATATGCTGCCCCCAAATACTCTAGTACGATCGAGGGTGGGAAGAGTTAGCTCTCCCCTTCACAAAATGCTTTCACATGGACACACATATACAATCACTGATAGGAAAGTCCTACTCACTGCATTCTCGCACCACAGGTGTGTTGTTTATGAAATTGAAAGGAAGAAAAACGAATATCCATCAGGTGCTTTAACCGTGTTGGTGGATATGGAGGTTCCATCTAGGGAAGTTAGAAAATCTTGGTTCCAATCTAATGTGTATATGGGCTCTAGTATCCTGAATGAACAAATGGTGTATGAAACAAATGTTGGTAACCGGTTACCATGAGACTTTATCTGCTGACATTGTTCCACTGCCTTGTGGATCAGAATTTAAGATCGAAGTCTCCGTGTGTTGCTCTCTAAGGAAACCACCTGTATTGGTCTGAACACTCGTGTAGTACCATAGCCCACAAGCACAAATGAAGTGTATTGTGTGGCGTATATGTATTCGGTGCCCCTTTTGTAACAATATTTATGTGTCCAAATAAATAAATTAGTTTTGTATGCTACTTATGATGACAGATATAAGTAGTATGTAACACCGATCAGAAGTGAAATGTCTGGCGGTAGAAGATTGAAAAGATCAAATTGACGAGAACTAGATTGTTAACATAGAGTAATCGTAACAACAAAAAAATTGAAGGAATCATGAATTATGTAAAGGGCGATTGAAGGAAGATAAGCAAACAATACATTGAATGCATAGCGTTCATATCTTACAAATGGAATTCATTCATTGAATATATTATAAGTACATCTTCTTTTCATTGCCCTTTACACTATTCACTATTCCACTAATTGTATAGTTATATGAATTACTCTCTGGTTTCCTCCATGTTCTCAACGTTTCAAAAAACTTCTACTGACAGGTATTCCACTTTCAACTTCTGTTATATACTAGCGCTATGTTATATGATCAATACATAGTAAATAAAAACTGTATAGGTGGTGGAATGCTTATATCTTTTATGCAATTAACTGTAACTAAGGATATCTGTACAGTTGACATTCAGTTAGTAACGTAACAATGACACTAGGAGGGGAGTCTATATGATACCTTGTATTTCAACCCGTTGATAAAATAGTCTTATCATAGTTATATAGCGTGTAATACTATTTATGTTTACGAGTGTATTATAAAGCAAGGTGATGATTTTTCTAAATGATACTAGTTTCTAAGGCAAATTAGTTTTAATTATATTCAAAGTCAATTAGATAGCTGGATTCATCGTTTTGTAATATGAACTTGCTTATAGACATGCAGTCATCCCGCGAGACGGGGTCGTAGATGCGCATTGCCACTGAGAAGTCCTACAATAGAACGAAACGGCTATCCAGCGCTTCCAGGTATTCTACGGTGGTCTAGCTTCACCTAACTCATGGTCTCAATTATTGGTTTAGTAATTCGTTTATTATAGCTGATGAACATAGTTTGCATTCGGGACTGATTTTAGTTAGATTATCATTGAAAAGCAAGAAGTATTTGACAGACATTACGCCCTAATATCCATCACACCGGAAGATTGAAACCATGACCCTATAAGGTATAAAACTCAAGATCTGAAGATCTTCAGATGAACATTTAATCTTATGATCACTTAGACGATATCAAACTGGTTAGTATTTCCAACTGCAATCAATTCTCAGTATTGTGCAACCATTTTTAATTACATTAATGAGTAAGTGCTTCACTATGAGAAAGTCAATACTTTATACAATGACTGAAGTTAGATATATAAACCGATGGGTAAGACTCGATTAATCTAAATGTTAAGCTCTTGTCGCTAGATCCAAAGGTCCTGGATTTCATGTCCTATAAGGTTGTGGTTTAGATCTTCTGATATAACTCATAATGGGACGAGATATATATCTAGTACTCCCTGATTTTCAATGGTTGTCTAGCCAATACCAGTCCAAGAAGAAAACTGTGAAATTTCGTAAAACTTCCTCAAACTCCTTACACTATTTTAATGAACACTAAGTAATGATCAATCTTATGCGTATCCACTGATTAAGTGCTCATTGAATTCCATTGATCGAGCTGTAATGTCGTTACCATTCTAAGTGACTGAGAATCACATACATTACATTTAAAATTAAGATGGTTAGGAGTAGTTAACCGTTTGTTGACCATTGAAATATCATTCGTTTGTCAGTATTCAATGTTCAGTTGATTGTAAACATGTCTTAGTGTTACATGATGTCACTTACGACCTGAACAGCTCAGTGGTAATCTTTCACTGTGAAGCCGTGTACATCAGGGTCGAATTCTCCAAAGAGTATCAATTCCCTCAAGATAACAGATATAATTTACTGACGAGTGCCAAATATCCCGATGCTTAGTACCAGGATTCCTAGTCGAATGCTTTCAATTACCATAATGGCTTAATAAATATATATTTTAAATAGGTTAAAAAACTCTGAATTGCGACAATATATTTAAACTAGAGAACTAAATTTGGTTGGCAAGCAAATTACCCAACTATTTATAAATAACTACTTAGCAATTCACAAAACACATACTTAATTACTTACGCCTGTAACCCCCAATAAAGTATAGGCCGCCGACCAGCATTCTCCAACCCACTCTGTCCTGGGCCTTCTTTTCTAGTTCTATGCAATTGTTCTTCATTCTTCTCATAACTGTCTCCATTTCTCGGAAGAATGTGTTATTAGGTCTTCCTCATCTACTTTGGCCTTGACGATTCCAAGTGAGGGCTTGTCTTGTGACGCAGTTAAATGCTTTCCTCAATGTATGTCATATAAATTTCCAGCACTTCTTTCTGATTTCTTCCTCCACTGGAATCTGATTTGTTCTCTCCTAAAGTAGGTTGTTGCTAATAATGTCTGACCAACGGATTCAAAATATTTTCCATCAACAACTGTTAATAAACACTTGTATCTTCTGGATGATGGCTTTCGTACTTCTCCAAGTTTCCATTTCATACAGTAGAACTGTCTTAACATTTGTATTGAAAATTCTGATCTTGGTGTTGGTTAACAGACAGTTGTTTTGAGTTCCAGATATTCTTCATTTGTAAATATGCAGCTGTTGCTTTTCCGATTCACGCTTTCTTATGATATGTGTTAATGTCTAACTTCAATAATTGTACGATATTGCGTAACCCTCATGCATGATTATTAACATTACCAAAAATATTAAAACGTCTTATACATGTTCTTGTCACCTGAACGAGAATACAGACGAGAACATCCAAATCTACTTTATTACAGCATTTTGTTTCCATACTAATCATTGTTTGTTCGCATTTTCTTCGGTTGAATCTTCTTCTAGCGAATCATATATACTACTTATATATGTAAAAATATCAATAACACATATTTATAATATTACTAATAGTGATATAATTCAAATGTACATATTCCAGTTACCGTAATTAACCAGTCTGTTATTGGCATATGTACATACTATGCGTATGCCTTGATATTCCTTTAATTCACAAGCTTTTTGTAGTAAGCAATGATGGTTAGTGGCTAACAGTAGAATCCGATTTGACGCTTACTTGAAACGAATGATACTGGGTTCAAGTCCCAGAATGAACATCAATAAGTCTGTGATACAGATACATCCAGCTGACCAGTTCTAAATAGGATGAAACGCGCTTTGTCCTAGATTCCACTGCTAGCCACTATCCATATTTGCTTATAATACTTGTGATTTAAGGTAATATTGAGGCAATACTCACACGATGCACATATGTCAATAACAGATTAATCAATTTCAGTGCTAATCACCAATCGGAAAATTCAAGTAAACAACAATACCAAGTGAATTTCAAACTTCATTCCACCACACAAGCAAGTTGCTATCGGTATATGGACATATTATACGTTTCTCACTTACATTTGTTACTCCTCGTGGAGGAGCATAAGCCATTCATCCACATTCTCTATCTAACTCTATCACAAGCAATCCTTTCTAGTTCTTTCTAGTTGTTATTCATTCTATTTACATCTGCTTCTATTTTCTGACGTAATGTGTTCTTTAGTGTTCCTCTTTACCGATTCCGTTCAAGATTTCAAGTTAGCGCTTGTCTCGTAATGCAGTTTGATGATTTCCTCAATGTATGTTCTATCCATTTCCATCGTCTTTTTCTAATTTCCTCTTCAGTTGGAAGCTTGTTTGTCCTCTCCCATAGTAGCCTATTATTAATGGTATTCATCCAATGGATGTTGAGTATCTTGCGTCGACAGCTATTTATAAATACTTGTACCTTCTTGATAATGGTTGTAGTAGTTCTCCAAGTTTCAGCTCCGTACAATAGAACTGCCTTGACGTTCGTATTGAAGATTCTGACTTTGATATTGGCTGAAAGTTGTTTTGAGTTCCATATGTTCTTTAATTGAAGGAATGCGTTCCTTGCTTTACCAACCCTAGCCTTTATGTCTGCATCTGAACCTCCTTATTTATTGACGATGCTTCCCAGGTATATGAAGGATTCTACATCCAGCTGACGTGTCCCAAATAGGATGAAACATGCGTCTTAGATTTCACTGCTAGTCACTATCCATCCATGCTTACAGAAACAAAAAAAAACTTAGTTGATAGTTTTACACATTCTTATCAATCAACCATGAACTCATTTATACATAGACATATAGAATTAATATCATAGTTAAAGGTAATCAATTACGTGATGTTTTCTAATATGGATGATCATGATAATCATGATCATGATAAGTAGCATAGTGATTAAATTATCCGATTATCATATATATATATATATATATATATATATATATATATATACCTTCTTATGTAATCATAAACTGATTACATATTACATAATCATTAATCAATATCAATTCTGATCTTATCAATAATGATTTATTACATAATATTGATTAATACTTGATATTATTTTAATTAATAGATTCAGATCATAATCAAACTAATAATGATTAAGGTGGAGAAGGAAAATATCATGAATATAACTGATAATAATGATGATAATGATGATGGAATCAATAAAGTAACCAATATGACAAATTGTTTGAATTGTTTAAGAAGTCGTACAACAATATTGATTATTGTATTTATTGCATTACTTTTAGATAATGTATTATTAACTACTATTGGTAAGTAATGATTGATCATATGTATATAGTTGTATTGATTTAATAATCTTATGTAATTACTTACTTACTTGCCTACTTACGAAACTGTTACTCCCAATGGAGCATAGACTGCTGACCAGTATTCTCTAACTCACTTTGTCCTGAACCTTTCCTTTTAGTTCTATTCAATTGTTGTTCATTATTCTCATGTCTATCTCCATTTCTCAGTGTCATGTGTTGTTTGATCATCGTCTTTTCCTTTGATCATGAGTATTTCATGTGATGAGGGTTTATGTTGTGACATAGTTGAATACTTTCTTCAATATGTGTCCTATACACTTCCAGCGCTTCTTCTTGAATTGTTTCTCCGCTAATACATATATATATATATATAATGATGATCCTTAAACTTTATAAAGAGTTCATCCTGATAAACCATTATTAGATAATGTCTCGGCGAGACTCTAATTTAGGGAGGACCTTTGAACGAATTTTGAGTGACCTTGAGACTAATAGCCAATCAGAAGACACCTAGTATAACGTAGAAATATATTAGAAGATACTAATGGATTACAGTGAATATACTTCTTTTACATGATTTAAAAACTTATCAAGGTTTGCTAAAGTTTCAGATGTTTTGAAATCATATTGCATACGGTATAAAAAGTCATAAATTCCAAGTATCTGTCGAGTATATTCACGGAAATGCTACTTACACAATCCTACTTTATACTACGTCCCCTGTTGTATTTTCGCTTTCTCACTGCCGTTTCATCTGTCTGCACGATACATCGTACTCCTCCGAATGATTGGTGTACAAGTGTTATTTTAGTTGCACGGCAGTACTCATACCACTGGACTGCTAAATTTTCATAAACAACTGCAAACGCCGCAGCCAGTGTTACTGGTGTATTTATTACCCAATTTGCAACTATTATCATAATCTGATTCAGTTTCAGTAGCAATCGAGCAAAGAAAGTCCCCGTTCTAGCAGACTTTCTCCTCCAACATGAAGGACAACGAAATATAATCTCACCACGGTTATTTGCACACTTTACTGCAGTCATTTGATAACCTCAGTCTCACGTACAAGAACTTTTTAGTAATCCTATCCCTTGTAGCCTCTCAATAATCACCCCTTCTCTAAAATCCGCTGTAAACCGATTATATGTGAGCATCAGGTGTTAAACTTGGCTCTGTGACCTTTAAACGGCTCAAACGCTTCTGATTGGCTCGTCCCTAAATTAGAGTCTCGCCAATGTCTCTAAACGGTGTATAATTTACAAGAGACAAGTACAAAGTGTTCATTGAGTTTATTATTATTGTATAAAGTACAGTTAATCAAAACCATCGATACATGAGATAAGTTATGAAAGACTAATGTCGAAAATCAATCGAACAAGTGATGCTGTTCATCAGTCAAAATGAACATGTACATATAAGCGACATTAGAATTTGTGAACAAACCAATTAGCTGTATAAGATCTTGGATTTTAGCGTGGAATTCATTCATTCATTTGGATAAATACAGTTTTCAGATTATAGCTGATGTCAGTGTGTAATGAAAACCCTAAATCTAATTTTTAACTCTTAATCATCAACGTTAAATCATCATTCGAATTCCCCACATTGGTTTATAACCATCATTTGATTGTAGTTTCTAGGTGAACACTCTCAAGATTAATCTGGTATCGCTCGAAGGTCGTCCATTAATTATAATCTCACCCATATATATATATATATATATATATATATATATATATATATATATATATATATATATATATATATAAGTAAGGAAATCAATTAAGCGACTAGCATTAAGCAATACTCAAGTTTACAGATTCATACAAGTGTAACAATGATATGTTATGAAATGACGTTGTGCTGTTTTTAGTAAGATTGAATTCCTTTGAACGACATACTGAAAACATCTATCTACATCCATCTTTATTGTTCCAATTCAGTTATTTGCTTATACATAGTATAATCATCATCATCATCATCATCATCATCAGTTATAATCACTACTTATGCGGTAGCTTCATTCATTTGTTACATATACGTTCTTAGTGTATCTAGTGTAAACGGACTCAAGATGACAATATATAGATAATTATAGATATCAATGAAGCAATTTATTCATAATCATATTTCAGTAGTTTTAAATAACTTCTTTGATCCTATTGCGGTGTGTCTATGTGTGTGCGTGTGCTACTGATATCGACAGATATAAGTAGTATGTAACATTCACCAATAGAAAGTGGAATGTCTGGTAGCATAAGGTTAAGAAAATCAAAGAAAAGTGAACGAGAACAGAGAATCATTAGTGTGGAAATGAAGGAACAATCAAATCTGAGACAATTGATTGATATTTTACAGAATGATGTATTTACTGTATAGTTCACAGATTTTGCCAAGAGATTCTATAATATTGTATTAATATGCATTTAGCTGTCTCTAACAGTATTCTTGTTCACTATAATATAACAAATAGCTTAATATATCAGAGTATCCATTATGAGTTTTGTTTTGGTTATTCAGTTGACAACCATTTCAAATGTTTGACATTCATTTCAATGTGATGTCTATCAGTATTAAAATAAGCGGCAAGACTATAATTTATGGACAAGTTGATTGGAAAAATTTGAGGGATTTCAAGCTTACGAAGCCGATTTCAGTACCTTCTGCTTACATACTATCGATTCACAGCGGATTCTTAGAGAAAACGTGATAATTGAGAAGCTATAACAAATGAGACTACTAAGAAGTTCCTTTATTTGTGATTGTGGTAATGAAATCTCTTGTGGACTTTGTTCAGACTACCATGATGATGTTGTTTTTCGATGTAATATCTGTTGGAGGAAGAAGTGCGCTAAGAGAAGAACTTTTTTCTCTCGATACAGATTGAGACTAAGGCGAACTGGATAATAAAAGCACCAGTAACACTGGCTGCAACATTCGCGGATTATACTGGAGCCACGGCTGTTCAGTAGTATGAGTATTGTAGAGATACATGCGCAGTGAAAGTGACAAGTCTACAGGAATCGTTTAGGGGAGTCGGGAGAATCGTTGTCAGGTAACGAAAATTTAACAGAGGGCGTAGTGTTAAAGAAGACTGGCTAAGTAGCATAAATATACCTCATAGGTCCTTGAAATTTACGACAGGTAATCTCAAAAGGGACACTTTGAACAGGTTAGAAACCAACAGGCTACAACGATAATACCAATTATATGGGAATATATGCAGCCTTTATGTACAAGTGGCGTTTTGTGAACCGAGTAATCGCAGTACACGCAGACAATATTGAAGCTATGTAGTCGAGGCTGAAAGAGTTTTTACAACCTTATCTTGGCTTCAGAGGCTTACAATCATGGATCTATATGAATGATTTCCTCTATCGTATGCATTAGGATTTCAGAACCTCTGAATGTATTTCTAACATCGAGAAGTTTTTGAACCATATCAAAGACGTGTATTCACTCTGATTTTTAGGTTTGTATGATATATATTAACTGTTTAAGGATTAGTTGCCATTTCTCAAAGTCATGCGGTATTTATTCGAAAGTTGTCCACAAATTATATTCTCGCAGTCATAAAGTTTATGAGGACACAGTAGGTAAGTGAATAACGCGATGGCGCTTGATATGAACGATACGGTAATCGAGCTATGGAGTGAACATCAACTCTGGGACGCATGTACATTCGGCTGAAGGGTTTCAATTAATATGAAACACGCGTCCTGGATTCTACTGATAGCCATCAACCATCTTAGAAACGTGAAGAACTACAACAACCATTATCAAGACGTTACAAGTATTTATAAATAGTTGTCTACGCAAGATACTCAACATCCATTGGATGAATACCATTAATAATAGGCTACTATGGGAGAGGAAAAACGAGCTTCCAGCTGAAGAGGAAATTAGGAAAAGACGATGGAAATGGATAGGACATACATTGAGGAAATCATCAAACTGCATTACGAGACAAGCGCTAACTTGGAATCTTGAAGGGAATCGGAAAAGAGGAACACTAAAGAACACATTACGTCGGAAAATGGAAGCAGATATAAATAGAATGAATAACAACTAGAAAGAACTGGAAAAGAATTCCGTGTGATAGGGTTAGATGAAGAATGTGGGTGAGTGGCTTATGCTCCTCCACGACGAGTAACAAACGTAAGTGAGAAACGTATAATATGTCCATATACCAATAGCAACTTGCTTGTGTAGTGGAGTGCAGTTTGAAATTCACTTGTTATTGTTGTTTACTTGAATTTTCCGATTGATGATTCGTACTGAAATTGATCAATCTGTTATTGACATGTGTGCATCGTGTGAGTATTGCCTCAATATTACCTTAAATCACAAGTATTATAAGCAAATATGGATAGTGGCTTGTAGTGGAATTTAGGACAAAGCGCGTTTCATCCTATTTAGAACTCGTCAGCTGGATGTATCTGCATCACAGACTTATGGCTTATGCTCCTCCACGAGGAGTAACAAATGTAAGTGAGAAACATACAATATATCCATAGACCAACAGAATACTAATCAATTAAAATCCTAAACAAAAATAAGAAGATTCAAATAAATTATAAAACAAAGTTTTATTAATCACTCATCAATCATAGTTAGACTACCATAGAAAACCTTTCAGTATTAGACATGATTGATAGGTCTTAGGTTCAAATCTCATGAGATGGAATGATGAATGGATCCTGTCATTGAAGAATCCTATAAAAGGACGAAACAGCTATTCATTCAAATCTTCTATAGAATATCTTTTTATCTTTCTTTTTTTCTTTTTTTCTTTTTTTTGTAGTTCCAATTATACCTAAATTATTATTAACTAAAGAAATCATAGAGAATAATTGTACTCAAATCGAATGTTCCAAGTCATCTAATCATACAATAGACAATTATAATGCACAAATTAAAATTGGTATTATATTTACTATTAAACCACTTGTACAATTTATAGTGAATCCATTTGTTGGTCCAATCACTAACAGGTATTGTATATATGTATATATAGATGTGTATATGTGTATATGTATAGCTATATCTATATATTACTGATATGATTGAAATGAAAGTAGTATATATGTGTTAAGTAGTTAAAGTGTATGATTTTGATAAAGTTTTATTGTTTGAATTAAATAGTTTACTGATGAAGCTATTAATATTCTTCTCAGATCTTCTTGACAATTAGAATCAATAATTGGAGATTATGGATAATATAACTCACAATTGAATGTAATGGTATAGGTGTATATACTATTTGTATTCCCTTTAAAACAATGAGATTCAAATCATTTCATATCTTTCTTTCTACTAATTTGTTCTTCTTCTTGTACTATATCCTTTTGATATATTATTATCATTGAATTAACTAGTTCTATGAATTCAGTGTTTATCTTGTTGTGTTAATGCGGTATGGCAACTTGGACCGATGTATATATGTGCCAGATCTTACATTGTAGCTGTCTGACTAACTGACTGACTGACTGACTGATGTTTTTATGAATGTTATCATCATTTGAAATTTGTGAAGATGATGTCATTTGGAAGAACGATGAAAACTTCACAACTAAACCATCCAGTTTAAAAGAACAAAACTCCATCAAAATCATCCATCTGAACTACAAATCTTCATCACTTATTAGTTGATTATACTTTCACTTGAATTGATATTCACTACAGGACTACAGGACTTAATACCGTTCACTTCAAACCCCTAGCATATTATCCACTTAGCTACTTTATAACTTCTATTAGAATCTTTCTTATATCATAATACATCTATTCATCATTAATCACTATCATAGTTACTATAAGTATATCAATATTTGTTTTAAGTAGTTAATAAGAACTTGAATCGATTTATTATTCTGTACCAATCATATATCTTTCTCAATTACACATCTATATAAACTATGTCTCTCTCTTTTTTTTTATGATTGCCTTAGTTACTATAATATCGGTTATCATTATGATAATCGATAGATTTTGACACCATTCAATGGTTGTTTAGATTCAACCAAATGCTTAATTATCTATATTTCTAGTAAATTCTATGGATCATTTGAATGTAATATCTATTTTGAAAGTATGTAAATATATTTATCTGTTACAATAATGTATTTTCAGATGGGGTTTTGTGGAGATTTCAGAAGTTTCATTGGTTGAAATCACGAGTCAGTTGAAGCTAAACGACCATGGAAAACCTGGGAGCACTGAACGGCCGTTTTTGTCCTAGTATGGGACTCCTCCGTGACAGTGCGCATCCACGATCTCACCTTGCGAGATACGAACCCAGGATCTATCAATCTCGCGCCAGGTGCTTAACCAACTAGACCACTGAGTTGGCCGGCATCCAACGGTGTTAATGTCTAACTTCAACCAATCCACTAAGTTGCGCCACCGTACACCAATATCTTCATGTGAGATGATATCCCACAACAGACTTGGTCGAAGTCCACTGGTAACGGCTTCACACTACAACTCCAGGAGTATCTCTTGAAGTCAGTCACTAGTGAGCAGATGATTATTATTACTCGAATCTCGCGACGAGCGGCATCGTGGATGCGCACTGCCACGTAGGAGTCCCATACTAGAACGAATCGGCTGTCCAGTGCTTCCAGGTTTTCCATGGTGGTCTAGCTTCAACTGACTCATGATTTCAACCAGTGAAATAATGTATTTCTTAAATATAATAATTGATGTCTAGTCGATCGACTGATGGATAAATGTAGAAGATAAACAAAAAGAGAAGATCTAGAAGTAATGGACAATCGATTCGTTTTGGTAGTATGGGACTTCATAGCAGTGTGCATCTACGATCCTACTCGTATCGTTGAAAATCTAGAACTTTTGGTCTTGTACGCGAATTTCAGATACCGGTTCAGGTTAAGCGTTCGTGCAACAGACTGATAGGTTATGGGTTCGAATCTTGATTTGTGAGATCGTGGCTATACATTGCTTTGGAATGCTATACTAGGATTGGACGGCTTTCAGCTTTACAATGATCGTCTAGCTTTAATCAACTGATGAATTTAAGTATAAATTAGTGTGTAGAATTTGTTTTAAATATTCAAGTTTGTTCAAAAGAAGATTTAGTATATATAATGAATTTCAATAAATGATAATGTACAACTATTTAGCATTTGATTATGAACTAGAAGATCTGTAAGTTGTATAAAAAATACTTTGTGAAAGTACAAAACAATTAATGAAAACTAAGAATCATTAAACAGCTGTCTTGGTTAAGTACAGGATCCTTCAGTAATATGCATCGACAATCTCAACTTTGATCGAACCTAAAGTATTCAGATCTCTTAGTGAACACGTTACTTTTAAACTTTTGAATCGATGTCTAATGTTTTACACATTTAACTTTCATCAGATCACGATAAAGAGCAATAATCTTACAGTGTGACTGATGGATAAATCACTCATTCTTAGAATAAATGAACTCTACTAGCCACAGAATATACCAGAACGGAACATATGTGTATACTATGCGTATGGCATCGATATTGCCATAATTCACAAGCATTACAAGCAAGGATGGATAGTGGCTAGCAGTGGAATCCAGGACACGCGTTTCGTCCTATTTGGGACTCGTCAGTTGGATGTACTTGCATTTCAAAGTTAATTTTCACTCTGAGACTCGAATCCAGTCACGTTCGCTTCAAAGGCCACCGCGTTATCTACTTAGCTACTCAGTCCTGATAGCCACTTGCTAGTGCAAGTGTATCCTAGATTCCACTGCTAGCCACTACCCATCTTTGTTTATAATGCTTGTAAATTAAGGCAATATCGAGGCAATACACACAGGATGTACATATATGCCAACAAGAGACTGATCAATTTCAGTCTTAAATAACAATGATAAGATACAAGTGAAACAACACCAAGTGAATTAAACTTCATCCTATTACATAAGCAAGTGACTATCAGGACTCAGTAGCTAGGTGGATAACGTGAAGGCATCTGGAGCGAATGGTACTGAGTTCCAGTCCAAGAGTGAAAATTAAATCTGATATGCAAGTACATCCAACTGACAAGTCCCAATTAGGACGTGTCCTAGATCCCAGTGCTAGCCACTATCTATCTTTGCTTAGGACGGAACAGTTATCCAATGCTTCCTGACCTACAATGATTCTCTTGCTAACATCAGTTCATTTTGTAAAAAATATAGAATTATCAACTTCAAAAATGTTCTTTGAGCGTAATAGTTACTTAGTATACTACTGATTAATTTAAACTAAACAATCATTATTAACTTCAAAGAGGAAAGTTCAATGAACTCTTATTTCTAGAATAAACAACTATTTAATACTTGCTAATTTTTCAGTGATTATCATTATAGGATTGTGAAGATTGTTGAACTTCATTAAGATCATAAACTGATCAATTTTAGACTACCATTGAAAACCTAGAACCCATGGATAACTGCTTCGTCTTTGTATGAGACTCCTCAACACTGCGTATTCATCATCTCACACTCAGAACTTGAACCCAAGATCATTGGTGTCAAGTGCAGTTACTCATCGAACAAAATGGAGCATGATCGTACAATATTATAACCTAATGGAAGCTGATACATTAACATTATTGGATATCGATCAAGTATTCAGTGATTGTTTATGAAGTCAGCTTTCATTATATAATTGTAATCTATGAATTTGTTTGTTTCTTTTGTTAAATAGAATTGGTTATAGTATTCCAATGTTTACTGGATTTATACTCTTGTTTGTATCAACAGTTAGTAAGTTTTTATTTAGATTTCTATCGAAGTTTCTTATATACATATACATTTATAATTTTATAATTAAATACATAAGTCAATTGAAGCTAGATCATCATGGAAAACGTGGAAGTACTGGACGGTCGTTTCGTATATAAATCCATTTAGTATTGTTTGCTTATATGTTTCCATTATTGTTTAGGACTGTAATTGATTAGTTTCTTGTTGGTATATGTGCATCCTGTAAGGATTGCTTTGATATTGCTTGAAGTCACAGGATTTATGAATAGAGATAGATGGTGGTCATTAGTGGAATCCAGAACACGGTGTACATACGTGCATCCTACAGTTGATGTTCACTCTAGGATTCGAACTCAGTACCAATAGCGTTTGAAGTAAACGGTATTGGGTTCGAGTCCTAGAGTGAACACCAATTCCGGTGCAGGTATACCCAGTTGACTAGTCCCAAATAGGACGAAACGCAAGACCTAGATCCCACTACCAAATACCATTCATCTTTGATTATGTATATAATTTAATAGAATTGATCAAGGTGAAATGAATTTCACTGGATTATCGTATAAAGTTTCTTTAGTAATCTTAAGATTATTATTGGCAGTGTTATTGGTTGCAGTGATAATAACAGTGATATGAGTATTAGTGAAGTGAACAAGAAACCTCGTAGGGTTAATTGAATTTTGTTTAATACAAAATTAAAGACAACCATAGTATAGATGAAAACTATGGATTAACTACATGATTTGTACATCTTCCTTCAATTCAATCTTCTGCTGACAGGTATTCATATTTCCTTCTTTACTTACTTACTTACGTTTATTACTAGCAATGCGGCATAGGCCGCCGACCAGCATTCTCCAACTCACTCTGTCATGGGCCTCCCTTTCTAGTTCTATCCAATGACGGTTCATTCTTCTCATGTCTGTCTCCATTTTTCGGAATTATGTGTTCTTTGATCTTTCTCTTTTCCTTTGGCCTTCAAGATTTCAAGTGATCAGGGCTTGCCTTGTGACTTAGTTGGGTACTTTCCTTAACATGTGTCCTATCCACTTTCAGCTTTTCTTCATGATTTCCTCCTCTACTGAAATCTGGTTTGTTCTTTGCCACGGTAGATTGTTACTAATAGTGTCTGACCAACAGATGTGAAGTATTTTGCGTAGACAACTGTTAATAAACACTTATATCTTCTGGATGATGGCTTTCGTAGTTCTCCAGGTTTCCACCCCATACAGTAGAACTGTCTTGATACTTGTATTGAATATTCTGACTTGAATGTTAGTTATCTATTCGTAATTCCGATTATTACTATATATATTGCTTATATATATCAGTATTAGTAGTATTTATGAATACATTGGTCTTGAATGCTGTTAGAGATATAAGGGCGGTTATCACTTCCCGGTTGCCCACACCGTGGAAGGGTTCTTCTGGAGGTACCTGAAAAGGAAATTAGATTAGAGGTGATCTTAGTGACCTGAGAGTGTGAACGCAGTGTCTAAGGGACAACTGCTTTGAGGTTGGTCACACATGACCTTTTTATGAAATGGTAAAATGTTTAAATGTATATTTAGACTATTGAATTCTCTATCATCTAATCATAATCTTTACTTTATTTAATAAATAGATGATTTGTTCATTTCATTATTTTATTATAGTTTTTGCTTTTGAAACAAATTTCTACATTTTATTGATTGCCAGAGCTATTCAAGGTGTTGGATCAGCATGTTCATCTGTATCAGGTAAGTCATTGAACATATATCTTTTTCTATTATAAGATTGTTATCATAAAGGAGAGTTTTGTGGTGATTGTAGTCATTGAATAGTTGTATTCATAAATTGATGAATGTTAGACCACCATGGAAAACTTGGAATCAGTAGACGGCCGTTTCGTCTTCATATGAGACTTCTCAGCAGGATGCATTCACGATCATAACCATTGAGCCATCATCTGATGGTGTTAATGTTTAACTTCAACTAATTCACGAAATTCAGTAACACATCCATTATTTTCATCAGTGAATTACTATTTCACAACTGAACCGGTTGAATTCCACTGATCACTGCTTAGTATAAGAATCCTCAGTGGCAGTGCATATCCATGTTGCTATACGAAAGAGTTGTACGCAGGATCTTTGGTGTCGCTCGCGGTTGCTTCAACTCTAGACTGCTGATTCAGCATCCAATGGTGTTATTTACTTACTGTTTGTTTCTATGGGATAATAATAATAATAGGCGAACTATGATAAACTATTGTGTATAGCATCTTTGATGGTGTACACTTAAAACCAAGTCGTTGTTAACATTTAAAGCATCCATGTTTGGAAGTTGGCTATGTTGACATTCCTTAATCGTTTAGTTCACAGAATTGAATTCAGTGAATTCAATACATAGATATAACCATCACCAAAGATTATCAATGGATAACTGTCATGTCTTTAACATAGTTGAATTGCACCAGCCACAATGTGAAGTGATTAGATCCTCCCATCGGATCACAAATAATAACTTCGATATTGGTATTATTTTCCTATCAATTAAACATAATCTTATTGATAAGAGATCATAGTTTATCTGAGATCAGAATCATTTCTGTTAGATCATATTGTTAGAAAACTAATTTTGACAGATTGAATCCATATGACTGTTGATTCTATTGTGACATTAAAAGAGAATGGTACTTTTTTGGATGATCTGTATTACTTACTTACGCCTGTTACACCCAGTGGACTATAGGAAACCGACCAGTATTCTCTATCCCACTCTGTCCTGGGCCTTCTTTTCTAGTTCCATCCAATTCTTGTTCATTTTTCTCATGTCTATCTCCGTTTCTCGGCGTAATGTGTTCTTTGGTCTTCCTCTCCTCCTTCGACCTTGAGGATTCCATGTGAGGGCTTGACTTGTGACGTAGTTGGGTGCTATCCTCGTTGTGTGTCCTATCCTATGATCTGTATATTCTCCCATAAAATCGTAAACTACAAATAATCATTAATTTCACCTGGTGTTGTTTTTACTTGAATCTTTCGATTGTTATTTAGGACTGAAATTGATCAGTCTGTTGTTGGCATATATGAATCCTATGAGGATTGCTTCGATATAACCTTAAATCACAAGCATTAGATGCAAAGATGAATAGTGATTAGCAGTGAAATCTAGAACACTCGTTTCGTCCTATTTGGGACTCGTCAATTGGATGTACTTTCATCTCAGAGTTGATTTTCACTATGGGACTCAAATTCAGTACCATTCGCTCCAAACACTATCGCGTTATCGACTTAGTTACTGAGTCTTGATAGTCACTTGCTTATGTAATGGGATGAAGTTTAATTCACTTGGTGTTGTTTCACTTGTATCTTATCATTGTTATTTAGGACTGAAATTGATCAGTCTCTTGTTGGTATATATGTACATCCTGTGTGTATTGCCTCGATATTGTCTTAAGCCATAAACTTTTCAAGAAGTAGCTAAGTGGATAAGCCGCTGGTGTTTGAAGTAAACTTTATTGAGTTCGAGTCCCAAAGTGAACATCAGCTTTAGGATACAGGTATATCCAGCTGATAAGTCGCAAATAGAATGAAATGCGCTTCCTGAATATACATAATCTTTATTTAAAATTTCGATTTAAGTACTCAGTATCTTAGTATATTGTTAAATTGTGGATAGAATTAGAATAAAATAACCTGGCTTAGTCTAATTTGAGATTCATATATCAGACTTATCTGTAGCTGTATTGATGTTACCATTAACATTCAAAGAACAATCACTATCACCTCAGACTTTAATACGTCGTTCATTTGTAACTACAGACAATATTAAGATGTGTTTTGTGTGTGTGTGTGTGTGTACCGGTAGGGGCAGATTAGATACAGTAACATAATAAACACTTGGTAGTTCATTATTATTATTGATCTTAAACAATGAACATTAATGAAATGCCCCTGTATATTTCAACAATTAAAATCATGAGTTCATTGAAGCTAGACCACCATAGAAAACCTGGAACCTACATTATACTATTAAATAGTTTACAAGTGAATATCATATCCTTCTATTAAAACTGTTTATTACTTCTTAACAGATCGTGTGAAGCTTTATGCTAAAAATAAATTATTACAGTAAATCTCGTTTCATAAACGTATTAAGGTCATTAATAAACATCAATGCAATTACACTCTAAATGTACTTTAGTAATTCCATAACACTTATATTTCATTTTACATCTTCTGTTAACTGTATACATGTGATATCATGTTACATCGATATAGAATAGATCAAGTATAACTAGTAGGAATACATAAAATGTGTGTTTCGTCCTATTTGAGACTCATCAGTGAATATCATCTTCATGACTTGAATCTAGAGCCGTTTGCTTTTAAAGATTATGAGTTATCTAACTATCTAATGAGTTCAAATAACTAATCATTTGTGTAATGAATATGAGATTGAATACAGCTTCAAATGATTCTAATTAATGCCTTGCTAATATTCTCTAGTGAAATTTGATCAGTCTTAATTGGTTTCAAATAGAATGAAACATAACGTTTTTTGATTCCATTACTGACCACATTCCCATCTATTCTATATGAACTTATATTATAATGGCTATATTGAAGTGTTCAGAATTCATTGATATGTATACATTTCAGTTTTTTAAAAGGTGCTTAAACGATTATCTCACAACAAACATCGATGTTAGCTTGAGATATCCAAACAAATGTATATTGACTAAATAATAATTGACGGATGCTGACTCAATAGTCTAGAGGTTTGGAGTTCTTGTACGAGACCAATAGGTTGTGGGTTCGAATCTCGCGGAACGGAATCATGGATTCATACTGCTGAGAAGTTTCATACTATTGCATCAGTGTTGGTAGATTATATGATTAGAGAAGAAATAATGATTAAGCAGAATGGAAGGTATCAGTTAATTTCAAACCTCAATATCTAAGTAAAGAAAAATTTTGAGCATATTTGTGCTATTCAGAATGATCATAAGTCATACTACCCTACATATCTAACTATTAATGATCATAATAGCACAAACCCTAATCAGGTTGTTTGAATCTAATTAAACAGCTCAGTTTAATAGTCAGTACTTTCACGAACTGATCCCACGTTTTGATATGGGAGTTCTTAGCTTATAACCAATCTACATGTACGCCAGGAAACTTTGCTTATTAAAGTAGATCGTGCTTATGTATACAGAATATATCTCCAAATTTCTATTGATATGACATTGTTATTAAGAGAAGCGATTGTGTTTATTTAAACTACTCAATGAGTATGATTCTTCACAAATTTGTTAATATTCCTAAATAGTGAATTACTTACTTACTTACTTACGCCTGTTACCACGAATGGAGCATAAACCGCCAACCAGTATTCTCCAACCAACTCTGTCCTGGTCCTTCTTTTCTAGTTCCATCCAATTCTTGTTCATTGATCTTTGGTCTTCCTCTTTGCCTTTGGCCTTAAGGATTCCATGTGAGAACTTGTCTTGTGACGTAGTTCGGTGCTTTCCTCAATGTGTGTCCTATCAACTTCCAGCACTTGTTTCTGATTTCTTCTTCCACTGGGATCTGATTTGTTCTCTCCCAAAGTAGGTTGTTGCTAATAATGTCTGACCAACGGATGTGAAGTATTTCGCGTAGACAACTGTTAATAAACACCTGTATCTTCTCGATGATGGCTTTTGTAGTTCTTCAGGTTACGGCCCCATACATTAGAACTGTCTTGACATTTGTATTGAAAATTCTGACTTTGGTGTTGGTTGCCAATTGTTTTGAGTTCCAGATGTTCTTCAGTTGTAAATATGCTGCTCTTGCTTTGCCAATCCGTGCCTTCACATCTGCATCAGATCCACCGTTTTTATCAATAATGCTGCCCAAATATGTAAAGGTTTTTACATCTTCCAAAGCTTCTCCGTCAATTGTGATTGGATTGGTGCATGCTGTGTTGTATCGGAGAATTTTACTTGTCCCTTTGTGTATATTGAGACCTATTGCTGCTGAGGCTGCAACTACACTGGTCGTCTTCTCCTGCATTTGTTGTTGCGTATGCGATAGAAGAGCCAGATCATCTGCGAAGTCTAGATCATCCAATTGCATCCTAGCTATCCACTGTATCCCGTACTTCCCTTCAGATGTTGATGTCTTCATGATCCAGTCGATCACCAGGAGAAAGAGAAAGGGTGAGAGTAAGCAACCATGCCTGACACCGGTCTTTACTTCGAACAACTTTGTCAACTGTCCTCCATGAACAATTTTGCAGTTTAATCCATCGTAGGAATTCCGTATGATATTGACTATCTTCTGAGGCACGCCGTAGTGTCGAAGAAACTTCCATAGGGTTGTCATGTCCACGCTATCAAATGCTTTTTCGTAGTCAATGAAGTTGATATAGAGTGATGAATTCCATCCAATTAATTGTTCCACAATGATCCGTAGAGTTGCGATTTGGTCTGTGCACGATCTATCCTTACGGAATCCTGCCTGTTGGTCTCGAAGTTGGGCGTCTACGGAGTCCTTCATCTTGTTTAACAATACCTTGTTGAAAACTTTTCCTGTTATTGAGGGAAAAGTGATTTCCCCGTAGTTGTCACAGTTGCTGAGTTCGCCTATCTTTGGTATTTTGACCAGAAGTCCTTCTCTCCAGTCTTTTGGTACCTGTTCCTCATCCCAGATCTTTCTGAAGAGAATGTGGAGTATCCTTGCAGTTACCGCTACGTCTGCTTTCAGTGCCTCTGCTGGAATGTTGTCTGGTCCTGCTGCTTTGCCACTCTTGATTTGTCTGATAGCCATGCTGATTTCTTCAATTGTTGGTGGGCCAACATCGATTGGGAGGTCCGTGAGTGCTGCTTCGATGTTCGGTGGGTTCAGTGGGGCTGGTCGATTCAAGAGTTCTTTGAGGTGTTCTACCCACCTGTTTCGTTGTTCTTCAATGTTGGTGATTATCTTGCCTTCCTTGCTTTTCACTGGTCGTTCTGGTTAACGGTGGTTTCCAGAGAGTTTCTTTGTTGTTTCATGCAGTTGTCTCATGTTTCCTTCTCTGGCAGCCTTTTCCGCCATCATTGCCAAATCTTCCACATATTTACGTTTGTCGGTTCTGATGCTCCTATTCACTTGCTTGTTTACTTCTGTGTATTCAGCCTGTGCCTTGGCTTTCTCTGCTCTTGTTCGACTAGTATTGATTGCTGCTTTCTTGTTCCTCCTTTCTTGAATATTATCCAGTGTATCGACCGTGATCCAATCCTTGTGATGGTGCTTCTTTTGGCCCAGAACCTCATGACATGTTGAAGTGATTGCCTCTTTTATCTCTTTCCAGTTGCTCTCCATAGTAGTTCCTTCTCCATTGAGTAGATCATGAAAGGCCTGGAACTTATTGCTGAGGGCTATTTTGAATTTGTTGAGTTTGTCATTATCCCGAAGAAGAGCCGTATTAAACTTTTGTGATGTTGTCCGCCCCGTTGTCCAGTGCTTCTTGAGTTTCAATTTCATCTTGGCGATCAGCAAGTGATGATTTGATGTTATATCAGCTCCTCTCTTGGTTCTGACATCCTTCATCGTCCTCCTGAACTTTTTGTTGATGCAGATATGGTCGATTTGGTTCTGTGTGGTGTGATCCGGTGAAGTCCATGTGGTTTTGTGTATGCGTTTATGTGAGAATATAGTGCCGCCTATGACCAGTTTATTGAAGGCATATAGGTTTGCAGCTCTTTCACCCTTTTTGTTCCTTTCTCCCAGTCCATGTCGTCCCATGATGTCTTAAATAGTAAATAGTTGAAGACAACTAACTCTATTCATCATACACAAACTATTAAACAACTCATATAACACCTCATTCAATCAACTTTATGAAGTGGAAGATACTTTGAGTGTTATAAGTAGAGATGATGGTCGTTAACAATGAAATCCATGACATGTGTTTCGTCCTATTTAGTATTCATCAATTGAATCCCAAATTTGATTTTCACTCTGACAGACTAATCAATTATACTCTTAAACCATCTTAAATCAATATATAAATGAATGACATTCAATGTCATTTTCACAAAATGATAATAGTGAATAGATCAATTAGTTGCTATGGTTGTTGTTGTTGTTGTTGTTTATATCTCTTATTTATAATATAGGAATGGGAATGTTAGCCACTTATTATATTGATGAAACAGAACGAGGTCGTGCATTTGCTATTGCTTTAAGTGGACTTGCAATCGGATTATTAAGTAAGTAAATTTGTATTCAAGATAATATTAATGAAAGTAATGTAATAAATCGAATAGTAAATTGAATGTAAACAATGATGTAACAAGGATTACATAGTTTCAATTATAACAGCTATACTGTAGGATAGAAACTTATATCACCAACATTCATTTATGAACTAAGCTACCTGATAATCGCTAAACATAAGAACTGATACAAAAAGCCAGGTTGAGACAGACCTAATTAGATATATAGACAGATTGAAGAGTGAATATATAGATAGATAGATAGATAGATAGATAGATAGATAGATAGATAGATAGATAGATAGATAGATAGATGTGTGGATAGATAGATAGATAGATAGATAGATAGATAGATAGATAGATAGATAGATAGATAGATAGATAGATAGATAGATAGATAGATAGATAGATAGATGTGTGGATAGATAGATAGATAGATAGATAGATAGATGTGTGGATAGATAGATAGATAGATAGATAGATAGATAGATAGATAGATAGATAGATGTGTGGATAGATAGATAGATAGATAGATGTGTGGATAGATAGATAGATGTGTGGATAGATAGATAGATAGATAGATAGATAGATAGATAGATAGATAGATAGATAGATAGATAGATAGATAGATAGATAGATAGATAGATAGATGTGTGGATAGATAGATAGATAGATAGATAGATAGATGTGTGGATAGATAGATAGATGTGTGGATAGATAGATAGATAGATAGATGTGTGGATAGATAGATAGATAGATAGATAGATAGATTGATTGATTGATTGATTGATTGATTGATTGATTGATTGATTGATTAACTGATTGATCGATTGATTTTGTACTGAAATTTTTGTGAACTGTCACGTCTACATCAACGTGTCTCTATCAACCAACACGATGAAGATAGTTTACTTACTCCATAGCAACAGAAAATTGTTACCTGATTCTCCATTACCTAATATGTATTTTATATAATTCATTTTGGATTTTCTCTTGGTATATTTGTAAACAATCATTTCAATTCACACATTCAAACAAACTAATTCTTTGTTATATATATATATATATATATATATCTTGTGCTTCTTTGTTTTTTAAGTTGGTGCCCCCTATGGAGGTATTACATATCAATTTATAAGTAAACAAGCACCATTTCTCATTTTGGCTACTTTAACTATTGTTGATGGAAGTAAGTTGAAGTTATCTACTATGATTTGACTTAAATAGATAAACATATAAGATAATAATCACAACTGAGTGAGAAAATGATATGGGAACTAGAAATTACAAGACGATTTCATTTTGTAATGTTGTATAATAGAATAAGTATTTGTCGAATTCATATATGATCATGATATGTTGTGTGCTACTGATATTGACTGATATAAGTAGTATGTCAGTCAGTCAGCTTCAACGTAAGGCCAGGCACATATATGCAACGGCCCACGTCGCCATACCCCATTAACACAAACAAGATAAACACTGGATTCACGGAAGTAGTTACTTCAATGGTAGTATTATATATAAGAGAAAGATTGCGTATGAGCATATAATATAGAAAGAAAGAATTAGATCGTAGAAAGAAAGATATGAAACGATTTTAATCTCTTAGTTTGAAGGAAGACAGAGAGTGTATACACCGACACCATTGTGATCGATTCTGAGCCATGTCACCAAGAGTCTCCAACCATTGGTTACGATAGTTATGCGCATTCCAAACAAGTAGTTTGCATCTACCCACATGGCTCAGGCTAGAAATTAGTGACTTCAAGCATTGATGCTACGTTTTAGTATGTAGTGCGTAGTATGTCACACCGATCGATAATGGAATGCCTAGCAACAGATAATTGAGAAAATTGAAGAGAATTGAATGAGAATAGAGAGTGATTAATGTGGAAATGAAGGAATAATCAAGTTGTTATATTGAAATACATTTGGTTACCCTGGTATTTATGTTGTCATTTATTACAATAGAATAAAATCTATATGATGAAGATGATGTAATCAGGAGATAATTCAAATCACTGTTGAATAGTTATGGATGAGTATTATAATCAGTATGTGGAACTTACTTACTTACTTACGCCTGTTACTATTCGTGAAGGAGCATAGGCCGCTCACCAACATTCTCCATCCAACCCTGTCCTGGGTAATCCTTTCCAGCTCTTTCCAGTTGTTATTCATCTTGGGTACATAAATATAAATAGTGATAATCTTGTCCGTTCTAGAATATTTCCACACTGGTTCAACCATCATGAATTGTAAGTAATCACCATTACTGACAAGAATCAGTCTAAATGTTCATTTAAGATGGTAGAATGATCATAAGGTATTGTAAGGATTATTAAATATTCATCATGTATATCAAGGACTGATACTACTTAGAAAGAATATTAAATACCAGGCAGTATTGGACAATTTTTTCCGCTTGATACATCCAATGCCCTACCGATGTTAAAATCTCACAAGCTAGACAGAAAGCGTTAGGACTAATTCACAATCAGAGCTATGGATCCACACTGCTGTGGAGTATCATTACTTACTTACTTACTTACTTACTTACTGTCTGACTGACTGACTGACTGATTGACTGACTGACTGACTGACTGACTGACTGACTGACTGAGAGACTTACTGACTGACTGACTGACTGACTAACTGACTGACTGACTGACTGACTGACTTACTAACTAATGCCTGTTACTCCTCGTAGAGGAGCATAGACCTTCAACCATGATTCTTCTTCCAACTCTGGTTCTGAACAATCTTTTCCAATTGTTGAATATATTAATTCCACTATAAATAATTTTGTTCATATTTGTATTTGTATAATTCTGTTTATTCCAATTATATTGTGTCATTGTTTTTATTTCCAAAATTTAGTTCTACAACTGTTAGTCTTGAAACCAAAGATTCAACGTGAAAGTCAAGAAGGTTCAAAATTAACTGAATTATTAAAAGATCCATATATTTTAGTAGCAGCTGGTTAGTTTATGTTTAATTAGTTCAATACTTATATTAGAAGGGCGTTTTGTGTATATTATAGTAATTTGAATGGTTGAGATCATGAATCAACGGAAACTAGACCACCGTGGAAAACGTGGAACAACTGGACGGCCATTTCATCCTACTGTAGGACTCCTCACGGACAGTGCGCATCCACATTCTCGTGTTGCGAGATTCGAACCGGGTCTGTTGTGATATAGTAACTCATTGAAAACAATGATAAAAGTGTCGCTCGATTTCGTGGATTAGTTGAAGTTTTACATTAACACCGTTGGATGCCGGCCAGTCCAATGGTCTAGTGATTAAGCGCTCGCGTGCGAGACTGATAGGTCTTTTGTTCCAATCTCGCTGAGCGGAATCGTGGATCTGCACTGCTGAGAAGTCCCACAATAGGACGAAACGGCGATCCAGTACTTCCAGGTTTTTCATGGTGGTTTAGCTTCAATTGACTCATGATCTCAACCATTGAAAGTTCATTATTTGTTGGTATAATCCTTTTTTGAGGTTAAATATAACACATACTACTTATTAATAGATTAATATTAAGACATTTGTTTTTACTTTATGTGATCAAAGCTTTATTTCAAAACAGCTGACAAAAACAGATAGTGACATCATTCTATGAAGTTATTAGTTGTTTGTCTAAGTCATGATAATGTATCCAGATTATTTAACTTTAGTTTAGAATTAGTCATAGGGAAGATGATCCATTAGTTATTCATTTTCCCCCTCTATCTTGAGTTTCAACTCTTCCTGGCCAAGAAAATATGCAATGTTGGTGCCATTGTTACCCAAGAACTGATGATCTCATCCGCTTAGCTGAATACACTTTTAGATGAGATCATAACACAGTTGCAGAAGTCATAGGATATCATAGAAGAATCGTTTGAATGCGGTCCTCAAGAGGGCCCTAGACAACAGGATCCAAATTACTAATCCACATCCTACTTACCCTGTAGTCCTAAAAATGTGACGAGCTATTACCCATCACACGTGAGTAATCTGGATTATATCACGCTTATTGAGACGTTGTCACCAAGCCAACAGTAATTATATTAACGAAACACATAGGTTCCAGTTAACTGTAGAAACATAATTTCGTGTTCCCTCTGCATCCATAAAAACTTAGATAAGAATCTATTCTTTTCAGGACCAGTACATAAAATTTAACCATGAAAATCCAAAGGAAACCATACCCTTATTAAGACTGTACGTTATCTCTAGACACTGGATGAGGGTATAATTTTTTAACCAACTCCATTGAAAAGATTATGACTTATGTTGATCTCACTTAACCACCTCGATGACTTTCAGTACAACTATGATAAATTCACATCAGATCCCTAGACAGTTTGTAAAACCACTGTTATATCTCTCGACAGAAAAAGAGCATTTGTCGTTTGACCATGCTCGTAGAAGAAATTCAATTTCATGTGTGCAATTGTTGTGAGTAGATAAAGTGATCGCCGACAAGATTAACAGGACTGACAGCAGTTGACCAGAAAGAACCACATGAAAGTCATCATTAGAAACGATAGCTTCTGTAGGTGTAGCCGCCCATTTATTTACAGATAGGATACACTCTACTTATTTATTATTATTCGAACACATAAACATTGGAACAAAAGAGCACTGAGTACAAATGCACAACATAAATCACTTGATTTGTGAGTAAAATGCGATACTGCTCAGATCCCCAGACCGAAACAGGTGGTTTTCTAAGGAAACCACACAAGGAGCCTTTGACCTAAAGGTCTGACCAACAAGGAAGTGAAATAACGTAAGGAGATATAGTCCGATGGTAGTCGCTCACTGACGATTAGTTCAAACGGCATTTGTTCCCTCAGAATCCTTGAGCCCATGTACACCATTGGTTTGAAATCAGGGTCTAACAACTTCCCTAGGTAGATCCTTCATATCCACCAAACCTATTAAAGCTCCGGACATTCGCTTTTCGTCCTCTCAATTTCATAAACAACACCCTCATTCACGAGAACGCAGTGAGTAGGACTTCTCTAGCAGTGGTTGTATGCACGTGGCAATATGAGAGCATTTCAACAAGGAGAGCTGACTCTCCCCTTCCTTAACCGTACCGACAATCTTAAAGTAATTGATACTCTAAGTCTTTTATTCACTTTATTCTTCTCTTCATTTTATTTTATACACATAAAGGTTCAATTACATTTGGAAATCTTGGTATGTCTGTATTAGAACCAACTTTACCATTATGGATGAAAACAACAATGAATTCTACAGAATGGCAACAAGGTATTGCATTTCTACCAGCTAGTTTATCATATCTAGTTGGTACAAATATATTTGGACCAATTGCACATAGAATTGGTAGTGGATATAGTGCAGGTTTAGGTTTATTAATTACTACTGGATGTTTAATAGCAGTAAGTTTGTTGAATAGAATTTGATAATTAATTAACTAATAATACAATAAAATGGTAGATTTTAATGTCTATTCATTGAGGGAGCTTCTTACTTACTTACTGACTTACTTACTTACTTACTTACTTACTTGCTTACTTACTTACTTACTTAGTTACTTACTTACGCCTGTTACTCCACGTGAAGGAGCATAGGCCGCTCACCAGCATTCTCCATCCAACCCTGTCCTGAGCAATCCTTTCAAGCTCTTTCCAGTTGTTATTCATCTTTTTCATATCTGATTCTATTTTATGACGTAATGTGTTCTTTGGCCTTCCTTCTTTCTGCTTCCCTTCAGGATTCCAAGTTAGCGCTTGCCTCGTGATGCAGTCTGATGATTTGCCTAATGTATGTCCTATCCATTTCCATCGTCTTTTCCTAATTTCCTCTTCAGCTGGGAGCTGGTTGGTTCTCTCCCACAAAAGGCTGTTGCTGATGGTATCCGGCCAATAGATGTTGAGTATCCTGCGTAGACGGTTATTCATAAATACTTGTACCTTCTTGATGGTGGTTGTAGTAGTTCTCCACGTTTCAGCTCCGTACAGTAGAACTGCCTCAGTAACTCAGAATTAAATTCACTTGATGTTGTTGTTTAATTGAATCTTCTCATTGATGATTAGGACTGTAATTGATCAGTCTCTTATTGGCATATCTGCATCCTGCGTGGATTGCCTCGATATAACCTTAATTCACAAGCATTAAATACAAACATGGATAGTGGCTAGCAGTGGAATCTAGGACATGCATTTCGTCCAATTTAGGACTCGTCAACTGGATGTACCTAAATCTCAGAGTTGATGTTCACTCTGAGACTCTAACTCAGTACGATTTGCTTCAAACAACATCGCATTATTCACTTAGCGACTGAGTCCTATATATTAGTCTAAATATTAATAATATGTCCATAATGCATTAGAAATAAGCGACGCTAAAGTCACTTATTTACTTTTCTACTTACGCCTGTTAACCCTTGTAGTAGAGCAGAGGCCATCCACCAGCATTGTCCATCGAACTCTGTTCTAGACAATCCTTTTCAGTTTCTTCTGGTTACTACTTATCTTTTTGATATCTACTTCCAATTTTCGGAGCAGTGTATTATTTAGCCTTCCTCTTTTCCATTTTCCTTCAAGAAGATGAACCTCTAAAGTGACTCTGAAAAAATCTATATACTTACTAAGATCAAAAATGAGTTATTAATTAGTGTGAATAACTATGATTGGAAATAACAGTTGGGGTTTTCATTACGAACTGACATCAGCCAAGATCTTCCACATGCTATTCAACCACATGAATACAGGGCTTGTTATCTTTGATTCCATTGGTTCGTTCATAAATTATGGCATCGACGTTTTTGTATTGACAACCAATTTATAAGTAGTACAAAACTGACTGACAGGTCTACAGTTAATTAACGACTATTTGGAGACAGTAATTGAATTCATGAGTCAATTGAGGCTAGACTATCATGGAAAACCTGGAAGCCCTGTACGGTCATCTCGTTCTAGTATCGGACTCATCAAAAGTGCTCATCCACGATCTCACACGCAAGTTTTAGATAGAATTCTAAACTCAACTTGTCTATTTGATCACTTCAGTAATCATTTGCGCACTAGTGACTGACTTCAAAATATATTTCTTGGAGTTCTAGTGAGAAGCATTGACCATTGGAGTTCAACCGTGTCTGTTGTGAGGCAGTTACTCACTGAAGACAATAGTGGACGGTCGCGCAATATCACGAATTGATTGAAGCTAGACATTAGAACTGTTGGATGCTGGCTTAGTGGTTTAGATGTTAAACGTTATCGTGCTCGACTGAACGTCTTGGTTTCACATCACGTGTGCAGGATTGTGGATGCTCACTATTGAGGAGGCTCATACTAGAAAGAAACCGTCTTTCAGTAATTCCACATTTTCCATAGTGGTCTAGCTTCAATTGATCCATGAATTCAACGATTAAATCACTACAATCTCCACAAAAAACCCCTTTCTGATATACTAATAGTCAATGAATGAAAGTGTATTTAATAACCATACAATAAAAAACACATACATATAGTCATTTATTGCAAACTAATCCTGAAGGGTCCATCTCTTCTCTTTATTTAGATACATTCATCTAACAGTTCAGTGCAAATGTTATTAATATCTCTCTAATGTATTTGGATTTGTTAAGAATAGTTCAAAGATGACTATTACGTCCTTAGGTTATACGATTGCCAATTAAGATACACTGACTTATACAATCAAACTAATGACGCATGCACCAGTAGAGGGCAGCCTAAAGTTCCGAATGGTCTTTTCTCCACCTGTGAAGTCCAAAACATCAATCTCAGGCCCCGCTATAGGAATCGTATAGTTCAGATATAATGACTGTCATTATTAGACTAGGCATAACTTAAGAACGGTAAATCGTATAATAACGGTCTATAGACCAAATGAAAGCTTATATTAAGGGGAATATAGATATATACATATAATGTAGTTACTTAATAATCCTATAATAAGAATATCTGTATCATATTAGTCCACAAATAGATCCTCGTGGTTACTATTCACCTATTCTTTGTTCGGTTATAACAACTTCCCAATTTAGTCCTCTTTTTATTTACCTCAACCTTATTAAGTTTGAACTACAACACAAGAGCAATGCATGAAAATAACAGTAACTATGCTTAAATGAATTAAAAAACGTTTTTTCATGTTCCCAGGTACCATTTTCCAAACGAATGGAACATTTAATAGCACCTATGTTTGGTTTGGGGTTCGCTGTTGGTAAGTGAGTAGTAATATTGCAAGTAGTATTAATGGTGTGTTGATCATTTTGTTAAATGTTAACAGATAATGTTATAACTCGGTATGGAGTCCCTCCGAGGGCTACTGCCGGCCTTAAGTTCGGGTAAAGGACGAAAGTTGGGCATGGGGTTAGCGACCCTATCCCGTAGAAAACTAATTCGTTAAAAAAAACTTGCTTACTTACTTACTTTCGCCTGTTACTCCACGTGAAGGAGCATAGGCCGCTTACCAGCATTCTCTATCCAACCCTGTCCTGTGCAATACTTTCCAGCTCTTTCCAGTTCTTATTCAGCCCTTTCATATCCGCTTCTATTTCCCGACGTAATGTGTTCTTTGGCCTTCCTCTTTTCTGCTAACCAGTTAATATCATGTCAATGCAATTTGTTCTCAACCAATTGAACTATATGTTCATATATGACATCAAATGAACAAAGATTTGAATTATAAATAAAGTATGGGTTTTCTTAATGCAAACAAAACCTAGGAATGCAATTCTTCCCTATCCTAAGGCTATGAATAATGTACTAAACGCTGGGATAGAAGTTTACGAATGAGAAGTTCGGTGCTCTTCTAGTAACGATGGATTTCTTGGAGTGCAATGATCCCAGGTCTATATCGATGTGGCTTCTTCACGACTCCAGTAGCCGAGGCGCTTTTGTGCTCAGCCTTGTTAGCCAGCCGCTTTCAATGCGCCTTACCTCCAGTCGATTTGCGAGCAGTCTGCTTAATTCTTATCATTCCGAAACAGTGTGAGATGATGACTATCCACAAATATTACTAGTAGTTCATGTGATCGATCCTGCCCACTTAAACTTGTCTTTAAAACAGAACTCTAATAACATGATTATCTTTTTCATCATAGCTCTATCGTCATATATGTTTGTAACAATTGTAATGTATACTACTTATGTTTGCAGATATAAGTAGTATGTAGCATCAGTCGGAGGTGAAACACCTGTCAACAGAAGGTTGGAAAGATTGAAACAAAGAGAAGAGATAAAGCGACTGAAAACAATCAGGATAATCACAGGAATGAAGGAATAATGAAACATGTAAGAGACAATTCAAAGAAAATGTGTACATGATGTATTTCATGTATGATTTTCACATTGTATTAAGTCACTGTGTAACTGGGCATTGAACACTAAGTTGGTTTCACCTACTTGAGTTCTTATTCACCATACAATGAAATAATATTCACCAGGTATTTCTGTTGCATAATAATTATACGATGTCGCAGTGCATATATACAATAATATTAATGTAAATTACTGTGGAGTTCCTGAGAAGATTGTCAATGTTATCCGGAACTCATACGATGGACTACAGTGCAAAGTCGTGCATGGAAGACAACTGATAGACGCATTTCAAACAAGGACTGGTGTTAGACAAGGTTGTGTACTCTTCCCCTTTCCTCTTTCTCTTGGTGCTTGACTGCATTATGAAGACCTTGACATCTGAGGGAAAACACGGAATACAGTTGACAGATCGGAATCAATTAGACAACTTAGAATTTGCAGATGATCTAGCCCTTCCATCCGATACACACGAACAAATGCAGACAAATACAGCCAGCATAGCAGCAGTCTCTGCATCAGTAGACCTCAAAATACACAACGGGAAAACCAAGGACCTCAAATACAACGCAGAGAACATCAACCCAATCACACTTGGTGGAGGAACTCTGGAAGATATGAAATCCTTCACATACCTGGGAGGCATCATCAATGAACAAGGAAAATCATATGCAGATGTAAAGGCGAGGATCGATAAAGCAAGGGCCGCATTCCTAAAATTGAAGAACATATGGAACCAGCTTCCAGCTGAAGAGGAAATTAGAAAAAGACGATGGAAATGGATAGGACATACATTGAGGAAATCATCAAATTACACCACGAGACAAGCGCTAACTTGGAATCCTGAAGGGAAGCGGAAAGGAGGAATGCCAAAGAACACATTACGTCAGGAAATAGAAGCAGATATGAAAAGAATGAATAACAACTGGATAGAGCTGTAAAGGATTGCTTGGGACAGGGTTGGATGGAGAATGCTGGTGTTGGGCCTATGCTCCTTTACGAGGAGTAACAGGAGTAAGTGAGTATTATTGTAAACTATACATACAACTATTAGTGTAGAGCCATGTTGAAGATCCGATTGAAAAGAAATCCCCTCGTTCTATTCATTCCTTTTTAACCCTTTTTCGTTTGCTCGAGGTATGTAAAACGATGATAATTTGAAAATTAGACTATAATGATGGTAGTACCGTGATTTGCACTACCTATGTTGACAGATATGAGTAGTATGTAACATCAATCGAAAGTAAAAGTGCTAGACGGCACAAGATAGAGAAGATCAAACAGATAGTGATTTATATGGAAATGAAGGAACAAAAAAGTCTAAGATAATTGATGAACACTTTGCAAATGAAGTATTCAACGTATGGTATTCACAATTTAGCAAAGAACTGTTATTCTGTATACAAATACAATCGATTATCCCCACTTTTGCTCTTCTTCACTATAGTGCTAAACATTCATGCCACATACTAAACAAATATGTACGTGGAAGCGAAATCTCGAATCACTTCATTGTGAATATGTAGCTCAATTCTACATATTTCAATTCTAATGTTCTCTTTCGTCTTATTCTTGGTTCATTTAGGTATGGTTGATTCATCAATGATGCCAATCATGGGTTATTTAGTAGATTTAAGACATGTTGCAGTCTATGGAAGTGTTTATGCTATTGCAGATGTGGCATTTTGTATTTCCTTTGTAGTTGGTATGTTAATTGATCGTTATCATATCCTTTTATAATAAAAATAAATTAATTTTCATTTTATCAGTATAGGGGTTGTGGAGATTATTGTGTTTTTGATTGAGATCATGAACCAATTGATGTTAGACCACCGTTGTAAACCTGGAAGCACTGAACGGCCGTTTCGTTCTATTGCGAGACTCTTCAGCAGTGCGCATCCACAACCTTGACCGGTGGAGCTAATCCATGTCGCGTAGATACAGGTATCTACCTCAGTACAATGGAAGATGGTCTCTCAATTTCGTGGATTGGTTGATGTTAGACACTCACACCATGGGATGCCGACTCAGTGGTGCAGTAGGTTAAGCTTTTGCGCGCGAGACCAATAGGTCCTGGTTTCGAATTCTGCGGACAGGATCGTGGATGCGCACTGCCAATGAGGAGTCCCACAATAGGACGAAGTGGCTGTCCAGTGCTTCCAGGTTTCCAACGTTGGTCTAACATCAATCAGTTCCTGATCTCAATCAAAAAAATAAGTTTCATCTTGTTGAAGTGACCTACTTTGAATCTGGATGATTTATTCTTGAAAATATCATTTTCTTACTGGATGATATCAGTCTTAAGTGAACGACAAACTTCTTCACATTGTAAACGATAGATTTGTTAGTTTGAATACCCTCTGCATATGAAAAGACAAGATCAGATTCGTTTGAGGAGACTAATAAACATGATCAAACGCTGAATATTATGAATATTTAAAGTATGAATGAAGTAGAGATGAATTACCTCATGTATCCGATATCAGTAAATTAATGTGTCAAGCTTATGAAATCTACATTCGAAAATTCACTGTTATGTTTTGTACATTTTGTTGTACTACTTTTGAAAATTCAGTAGTTCGAATAATTAAAATTATTTTTTCTTTACATTCACTTGGAATTGTTTGCTTGTATCTTCTCATTATTGTTTAGGACTGTAATTGATCAGTCTCTTATTGGCATATATATATATCATGTACATATTACCTTAAGTGACAAACATACTAAGCAAAGATGGATAGTAACTAGTAGTGGAATCCGGAACTTATTTTTCATCCTAATTGAGACTCATCGGATGGATGTACCTGCATCCCACAGTTGATGTTCATTCTGGAACTCAAACAGAGTACCGTTCATCTCACTTAGCTACTGAGTTCTGACTGCCATTATTCCGTGCAATGTGGTGAAGTTTAAATTCATTTAGTTAAATAGAGAGGCCTACTCAGATATTTAACAAAGAAACGAGTAGAATGAAGAAATATTTCTTTTCAATCTGTTTTTCATCCTGTCCCTACAACAATAACGGAATATCATTGATCAAATAGTGAATATACATAATCATTTGTGAAAGTAAAACATCATCTCACTGAAATAATGCATCGATTAAATTTGGACTATTAATAAAAACCTAGGAGTATCAAATGGTCGTTTGTTTTAGTATAGGATTCCTCAACAATGCATAACTACTATATCCTAACCAGAAATCCGATCCAAGACGTTCGGTCTCGCGTGCGAACACTTAACTTCTTGACCAATGAGTCGATATTCAACATTTCCGAATCATGGATGTGCACTACCATCGAGGAGTCCCACAATAGGATGAAATAGCTGTCCAGTGCTTCTAGGTTTTTCATAGTAGTCTAGCTTCAATTGACTTATAATCTCAACTATTGAATTACTACTATCTTCACAAAACCTCCCCTTTCATGAGTATATTTTGTTAGAAATTCATATTTCTGTTGTTACATATTTTCTTTATATCTTTCAATAGGACCAATTGTTGGTGCTGTACTAGTGAAATTCTTAGGTTTTAATTGGTAAGTCATTTTATTCATCTTTTATTTATTTTTTTTTTTTAAATTATCGCTTGACAACTTGGTTTTATTAGATAGATGTTAGAATAAAATAGTTTTGATGGAGTTTTGTTCTCTCAGCTGGATGGTTTAAGCGTGGAGATTTGGTTGTTCTTCTGAACGACATCAACAGTACAAACTTCAGATAGAAGTGATATGTTAAGTGAATAAGCTATTCATAATCGTGTTCCACTTATCATAAGCAATACTTTGACCTACAGATGATCAGTGTACGATTTACAGTTCTTGAGTTATGTTCAGCCTATTAATTGTAGTCTCCCACATTCACAGCCACTTTTAGCTAGATCTTTTACATATGTTGTTATCTGTTTTATGTTACGATGAAGTCTGTTTGATGGGTGTATATAAACCCAATCTGTTTGAAATACATGATTCATATCGCAGAGGTTGAGAGTGGTGTTCTGGACTTAATAGGCAGGCAGGGCTAGTCAGGCAGTAGGATCAGTAAGGACTCCAGACTGATCGTACTTATTTTATGCGTCATTAATCTGGTTGATAAGTCACTATTCTCTAATTGGCAACAACATTACGTCATATATTCTGATAGGGGTACAAGGCCTCAAGTTATAACACTATTGTTGTTTAAAACAACCTAAGGTAAGAGAATTCAGTAAACGTTATTTTATTAATAAATGTCCTTAATATATTATTATATTGAAATCATTTTCCTTTAATCTTATTTTAGGATGATTTGGATTACTGCAATTCTTTGTTTTCTCTATGCTCCATTAACGTTATTTCTCAGGAATCCATCAAGAAAAGAAACAAGTAATCTAGAGGTAATCTATAACTTGTTTAATAGTATTCTATTCTATCAGTGACTACTAGTGAATATACTTTGTATTGTGATGAACTCTACTCATCAGATAAGTTGTGTGCCATTGAACGTCACATGGAAATTAATACGATTGACAGTTCAAGACAAGTGAAATGCTACAAATACTTTTAAGACTAAAAAGTAAGCTATAGAAGGTAGTCTGCTACCAGCTTCATTTATAAAATACACGATAGATTCAAATGAAAGATTGAAGAATAAGTGTAAACTACCTGGTTGGAATTCGGGAGATGATAGCAACCGATAGTTAGAAACCTTGAATGTGACATGGCTCAAAATCGTTTGCAATAGCGCAGGTGCATCCAATCTTTATCTTCTCTCAAATTCTAATCTTCTGAATTCTTGGTATCCTTTATTTTCTTTCCAAATATATTTCACTGGATTATACTCCTTAAATAACATTTTCAAACCCTAGTCTTTCCGATTACTGCTTATACTTTTACTACCTCTACCATTTCGGCATTTGAATCGACATCTACATCTCTGTGCAGTTTGATTGTACGGATCTGAAACTTTGAGAACTACTACAAACATCTTCAAAAAGGTACAAGTATTTATAAACAATAGTCTACACAAGATATTCAATGTCCGTTCACCAGATACCATCAGTAATAGCCTACCGTGGGAGAGAACAAACCAGATTCCATCTGAAGAGGAAATTAGGAAAAGATGATGAAAATGGATGGAATATACATTATGGAAATCATCAAATTTCACCACGAGACAAACACAAACTTGGAATCCTGAAGGGAAGAGAAAAAGTAGAAGGTCAAAGAACACATTACGTTGGGAAATAGAGTCAGATATGAAAAGGATGAATAACAACTGGAAACTGTTGGAAAGGATTGCTCAGGACAGGGTTATATGTAGAGTGCTGGTGAGCGGTCTATTCTCCTCCACGAGGAGTAACATCTGTAAGTAAGTAAGACATATATATATCATCTAACACTTATTAGACTATCTACCAATCATTATTCTCCTCGTTCAAACATCAATATGTATAGGATCTAAATTTATCAGTGTTGAGTGTCACTTCTAAGGATGTTTAGAAATGTTTGTGAAAAATAGAGAGAATCTGGAAAGAAACCCTGTATATTAATTTAACCAATCAAAAAATTAAGGAGGATTCCCAATAATATTTAGTAGAAAGTTCATCTATTCAAAAATTTAAATTATACCTAATTTGACCAATGAGCTTGATGGATGGTGACTAGCAGTGGAATCCAGAATGCGTGTTTCATCCTAATTAAGATTCGTCAGATGGATGTACCTACATCCCACAGTTTATGTTCACTCCAGAGCTCGAGCACAGTACTGTCCACTTCAAATGCCATCTCGTTATCCACTTAGCTTTTGAGTCTTGATATCCACTAGCTTGTGCAATGGAGTGAAGTTTTACTTCTTTTTCGTATCGGTCGGTTGAATTTTCCCATTGATGGTTAGGAATGTAATCGATCAGTCTCCTATTAGCATATGTACATCTTTCCCGGCTGTCGTCAGCATGTTTTTAGGCGAAAATGGATGAGGAATAGAAGTCGTATCTGTGATGTGTGCTACTTACGTAGACATAAGTAGTATATGATGTTAGTCGTGAACAGAATGTCTGGCAGCAGAGAGACGAGAAGATCGAACAATAAAGAATGAAGAAAGAATGCAATTTGTATGAAAATGAAAGAACAAAGGGATTCTGAGTCATTTGAGACAATTGACGGACATTTTGTAAATTGAGCATTTACGATATGGTTGTTAGATTTTAACAACAAGTCCTGTAATTATGTGTTAAATACATTCGATTGTCCCCACCTGTGTTTTGTTCACCACAGTATCCAGGACACTTGTTTAGTCCCGGAGTAGTTATTGACAGTGGTATGCAGGTATATTTGTCTGATAAGTTCCAAAATATTGCGCAACACGTAATCTGAATTCTACTGCCAGCCATCATCCATATTTGCTTATGAAGTTTGTGACTCAAGGAGATATTGAGGCAATTTGCATACGATGCACATATAACAACAACAGACAAATCAATTGCAGTCCTAAACAACAATGAAAAGATACAAGCAAACATTATCAAATGAATTTAGTTATCCAATAGGGATACACGTTATAATAGTCCATAATTAACTCCTAGCAGTTACCATTCATCCACTCTTCGTTCAAATATAACACTTTCCATTTGTTTTTCCAACATATTTTCAATACAGATAACAATTTGTAAATCTCTTTACAGTCTAGATGAATAACCGGGAAATCTCATTCAATTGAGAAGAAATAAACATTGTGAGTGTAAATCCATTTAAAAAGAATAAAAAATACACATTTTGAACTGTATCTTTTGACTTCGATTGTTTTATACTGATGAATCCTGACCCAGGTGCTTCAATCCTAAAGCGTTAGCCGTGAGGACTAAAAGTCGTAGATAAGACTGTGAGTGATTGCTGGTTATCACTGCTATACTAGGACGAAGTAGCTGTTTTTCGCTCGCTGATTTTCAAGGGAGCCCAAACTAAACAACTACAATACACAGATTAAGCTAATCCCTAAAAAAACCCCTTGAACTTGACATCAGCTAATTGTAGGAAATCATTGCAGAGTGATTGAAATTACGAATACAAACCAGCAAATTCTACATAAGTCATCACAATGTAGAAGGAATATTATTATATCAAAACGTTCTGAATACAATTCTAAATCATCCGTTGAGACAGTAAGAACTAATAAGAAGTCCAGAAATAGGATAAAGTCTCTTATGGTGGTCCATCATTTTAGATTTTTATCCATGAGTTTTTGTAGTTGTTACATGAACCTGTCAGTCAAATACACTGAATGTATTTAAAGTAAATTATCTGACATTTCTTATGGTTTCTGCTAAAAGTTTAAGACTTCCGAAAATGCTTGTTTCACAATTATCATCATTGTTTGGGTGCACATGTCGACTAGACGAACTCAAAATTAAAAAAAGGTTAAGATGCAGTCTGGTAGATACCAGTAGTAGTAGTAGTAGTAGTAGTAGTAGTAGTAGTAGTAGTAGTAGTAGTAGTAGTAGTAGTAGTAGTAGTAGTAGTAGTAGTAGTAGTAGTAGTAGTAGTAGTAGTAGTAGTAGTAGTAGTAGTAGTAGTAGTAGTAGTAGTAGTAGTAGTAGTAGTAGTAGTAGTAGTAGTAGTAGTAGTAGTAGTAGTAGTAGTAGTAGTAGTAGTAGTAGTAGTAGTAGTAGTAGTAGTAGTAGTAGTAGTAGTAGTAGTAGTAGTAGTAGTAGTAGTAGTAGTAGTAGTAGTAGTAGTAGTAGTAGTAGTAGTAGTAGTAGTAGTAGTAGTAGTAGTAGTAGTAGTAGTAGTAGTAGTAGTAGTAGTAGTAGTAGTAGTAGTAGTAGTAGTAGTAGTAGTAGTAGTAGTAGTAGTAGTAGTAGTAGTAGTAGTAGTAGTAGTAGTAGTAGTAGTAGTAGTAGTAGTAGTAGTAGTAGTAGTAGTAGTAGTAGTAGTAGTAGTAGTAGTAGTAGTAGTAGTAGTAGTAGTAGTAGTAGTAGTAGTAGTAGTAGTAGTAGTAGTAGTAGTAGTAGTAGTAGTAGTAGTAGTAGTAGTAGTAGTAGTAGTAGTAGTAGTAGTAGTAGTAGTAGTAGTAGTAGTAGTAGTAGTAGTAGTAGTAGTAGTAGTAGTAGTAGTAGTAGTAGTAGTAGTAGTAGTAGTAGTAGTAGTAGTAGTAGTAGTAGTAGTAGTAGTAGTAGTAGTAGTAGTAGTAGTAGTAGTAGTAGTAGTAGTAGTAGTAGTAGTAGTAGTAGTAGTAGTAGTAGTAGTAGTAGTAGTAGTAGTAGTAGTAGTAGTAGTAGTAGTAGTAGTAGTAGTAGTAGTAGTAGTAGTAGTAGTAGTAGTAGTAGTAGTAGTAGTAGTAGTAGTAGTAGTAGTAGTAGTAGTAGTAGTAGTAGTAGTAGTAGTAGTAGTAGTAGTAGTAGTAGTAGTAGTAGTAGTAGTAGTAGTAGTAGTAGTAGTAGTAGTAGTAGTAGTAGTAGTAGTAGTAGTAGTAGTAGTAGTAGTAGTAGTAGTAGTAGTAGTAGTAGTAGTAGTAGTAGTAGTAGTAGTAGTAGTAGTAGTAGTAGTAGTAGTAGTAGTAGTAGTAGTAGTAGTAGTAGTAGTAGTAGTAGTAGTAGTAGTAGTAGTAGTAGTAGTATGTGGATTGACTCATTAATTCGATTATTCAATTGATTAACATTATGTAGATTACATTACTACTTACTGAATTGTTATTGCCGATGTCCTATTTTTTATATTTCAGACAATGCATTTCTCTTTGTATTCATGTTAATATCTCCGTTACATTTTTACCAGTTATCCAAGTGAAATCCAAAAGAAAGTACAACTTAATCATTCAAACTTTTGAATCTATTATTATCAATGAAGTTGAGAAACATTGTGTCTTTCCGTTTGATCATTCAATTTAATTGTGGATAAACATTATTTCTATTTAATTATTTAAAAAATCTTGATTAATTTTCTTTTGAGCAAATTTTAATTTTATTTGTTCATTCAAATACAGAATACTCATTCAAGATGAATCAATAAAATGGATCTTTCGTACCGGTATATACCCCTCATTCTATTGATAGAAGAAACTCGGCCAGTTGTGAATAGTTCTTTATTTAGATCGTGTTGCAGGATATCATGGAGTGCTAGGTTACTTGTTTAAACACACAACGCTTTTCAATGTTCAATAAAAGATGATAGGAAATTTAATCCCTATACAAAATAAGGTAGTGAATGAATACTTGAACTCTTTCTTAAAATGGGCTTAGATGTTTGAGGTTTACTATAAACAAATCAACCTAAGTTGTTACAGATTCCGCTTATGCATTCAATCAGGAATTTATTAACAATTGATCATGAGTTTATGTAGAAAGAGACAACTCCGACTGAGTTGAAAATTAAACTATTAAATGAGTGTCAACTAAGAGTCCTGAAACAATCAAGGTCAACGAGGTAACTTAGAAATGTCCTTAAGCAAAGCTATGAACGAGTTTCAGATTTTCGAACCATTTCGCGTTTAAAAACAGTTTTTACCCTATCTATTTTGCAAAGACTTCTAACTTTTTTAGTCTTATGACAAGTTTCGTAATTCTTTAAATTCTTCACAAAAAAAAAAAAAAAAACTCGCTAGTCAGCTTGAAATGGGGTTTCTTTCTAGATAATTAATAAATGTGTAGTGTCATTGGGCCCTAACCATACAATCCTCAAAGCTGAGCACGAGACAACTGGGAAAATAGGTACTCAACATTTAGTGCGGAGAAAAACACAACGATGGAGAAGACGGGAAGAAGAAATTCAGTTAATCCAAATTCATCGAATGGCATGGCTCGGTCTTGCGAGCGTGATCATTCTTGTGTAGCCTATACCTTTTATTCATTTTAAATATATTGTTCTATCTCCAGCCTAAATGTGTTCTCCATCATATATTGAGGATTGTTACGAAATGACGAGTCAGTGTAAACAATGATGTGACTTTCACGCAAGATCTTATGAATTAGACAGTTACATCATGACAAATCTACAATTTTAGGATTAGGTCTATTATTAAAGCATTACTGAAAACGAAGTGTACCATAATTTTACAACTTCACGAAAAGCTGCGTTGTTCACTTACTGATTAACTTACGCTTGTCAACCCTCATGGAAAATAGGGCACAACCAGCAATTTCCAGTCTCTTCTGTCCATAGCTATCCTTTCAATGGTTTCCACGTTTTATTCTTTTTGACGTCTGCCTCCGGTACTCAGCGCATTGTGTTTTTTGGTCTATCTTTTTTCTTTCAACATTGACGATTTCATGTTGAAGCTTTCCTCTGGATTCATTTTGATGTTCTTATGAGTAAACTAACCAATAACTTCATATAACTCCCTGTTTTTAAATTCTTGATTTTTTATGCTCCATATAGCCTCATGCAGTAAACTAGTTCACTATGATACGTTTATTCTTACGTGGATGTTTTTTGATGCTTGCTAAAAAAACAAAATGCCTGATGATTCAAGCCCAATCGAACTACTGTTGGTAAAAAGATGACAAATTATAACCTATCTGTTCCAAAATAATATTCCACACTCTGGTCGAATTTTTTACTCAGAAACTTATGTGAGACAGTTTTGTGTTTCTAAGGCTGAGTAGCTAAGAGTTGAGTTTGTTTTATTCTGTGTTATATCTTGGTTATCCCCAAGAGATTACTCACAATAAGCGTTAGCGTCAACACAACTGACAATACGCGTTTGACTACCAGGACCAGAAGCGTTTTACGAATGTTATTTCGTCATCTTAAAATCCGTCCAACACTTGCCGACATTCAGACTAGTGGTGAAAAAGAAAGGATGATCAGTTTACGAAATGCCTCCGTGGTATATAACACAGCTGTCTAGCACCAGCGTCCGGGGGGTTATTATAACCTGGATAACCGGATCTTAACCACACACATTCAAGGGTAGTATACATCACGTTGATCCCATTTAGAGTACCCTTAAAAACTAGAGAGGACTAAACAGCCATTATTATTCATTTAGCTGACCTTTATTGTTAGTATCCAACCATAACTCAAATTTTGATCTGATCCAGGATTTTATATGTGTGCATCGATAGATATCAACCGGAAAGTTCAATGGCAAACTAGTTTCATTCACAGAGATAGTTATAGCTGTCCAAAGCTTACCAAGCTTCAAAACTGTATTTCTTTTGAAATATTTACGGGTTAGAAAATGTCTAAAAAGGTAACATTTCGTCGGTAATGGCTTCTTTCATAAAGAATGAAAATCTGTGAGAAAAATATTGGATGCATTCATTCTGAAGTGCTTCATTGTATAGAGAACACAAGGAAACTATTCCCAACGCTCGCAGTGTTTGGTTTTTGTGACAATAATCTACGATTCTGTTCCAAATATAGCATTCAAAGTTTGAAAACGTCTTGACACGTAACATTTTTATCATTGGTGTATACCAGCGCAATCAAATCAGAAGTCATAAGTCAAGGGATTAGAAAATATATTTGGGAGACTACCGGTATGTCGTGAAGCGTTTGGTCTAAGTTGTCTAGCGATTGCAAGGAATATGGAGAACAGTATGTCCACTCGCGATTTCGTCGGATGAACAAACGAACGCTTACAGCTACGGTGTATTCAGTAGAACTAAGTCGGATCCAGTGCTGTAAGCTTAGAGAATTATTCGCTTTGGGAATTTGCTTACCGCTACAGTCTCTTCTAGTCAGAAATCGAGTTTGACAACCTTGATGAATCTGTATGGTGCTCTGTAAGATTGTCCACTACTTCGAAGTGCCTAGTCGGGGTCATCTATAGGAAGCCCACTGCTGACATCGAGTATGACAGTCGTATGTTGGAAGGATTATCCCGCTCTACGCGTCTCAGATTCACTCACATCTTGATTCTAGGGGACTTCATTCTCCCTAGAATCACTTTCGCGGAACATATGTATATTGCAGGTGAAAACTCAACTAAAGCTCGGTTCTTCAACCTCATTGAGCATATGTGATTCTATAAAAATGTGAAGTTGGCAATTCTTTGGAGATACAGTCAGATAACGTCTCACTTAGACTGGGTATTTGCAAACGAGGAATTTCCATTTGACAACACCTTAATACTGGTTCCCCTAGGGAAAAGCGATCATGCCGTTATAGCCTTCTGTTTTGTCAGCAAAACCGAGCTAAGATATCCCACCAACAACAGGCGCTGGAATTATAATCGGTTGAATGTGTCAGCTCTACAGGACTATCTACAACAGGTATATTGGGAAGTTCACCCTCAAGTTGATGTGGATGCTTATTTGGACTTCTGACTGCAGTCAGTTCCTCGAACGGTCACTAATAGCTACAAGCGACCAACAATCATCAAGAATCTCACTCTTCGTTTGTTAAGCCGCAAAAGGCACTGTTGGGCAGAATACAAACGAACTGACAGCAACGGCGCGTACAAGCACTACAAACACATAAGGAACATATACAGAAAGGCTATAAGAGAAGACAGGCTTCACTACCAGATAAAGCTTATAGATAAATTTGCCTCTAATCCGAAAAGCTTATTCCGTTACGCAGCCTCCCTTAGTCAAGCCAAAACTGGAGTTTCCCAACTGCTAGGTCCTAACCGCCCGACCGATAACGACGGCGAAGAAGCTAACCTTCTGGCTGAGAGATGCTCCCGGACATTTCAACCGAACCACATCAACTATACTGATGACAGCTCCATCAGCAACTGCACAGGACTTTCCGTAGTGAACCTGAGCGCTGACTTGGTGTTTTGAAAACTGCAGCATCTAAGAACAGACACTTCTCCTGGCCCAGATATGGTCCATTCTGCTATAATGAGGGAAGCAGCTTCAATCCTGGCAACACCACTTAGCGTGTTCTCACACTCGCTAAGTCGAGGCGAACTACTGGAAACTTGGAAGTTGGCTCACGTCACACCGATTTTAAAAGGAGGCCGACGCAGCGAACCTTCAAGTTACCGACCGGTGGCTCTTCTCTACACACCTTCGAAAATCATGGACTCCCTGCTATGCGATGGTATACATGACTATCTGCTGTCCTTACATTTCTTCTCACCCCAGCAGCATGGTTTCAGGAAGGGTTACTCCTGTATGACCAACCTGCTGACTGCGGTGGACAGATGGACAAGCATCCTTGATCGTAAGGGGAAGGTGGATATCATTTACCTTGATTTCTCTAAAGATTTTGATAGGGTTAATCACATATGTCAATCGGGTATCAAACCATCTTTGATCGACTGGCTCATTTCATATCTGACAAATCTACATTTTAAGGTCAGGGTCAACTTCAATTTATCACACGCTATGGAATGTCGTAGTGGGGTCCCCCAGGGCTCAGTACTAGGACCTCTTCTCTTCCTGATTTATATAAATGATCTTCCTCAACAGGTAATGCCAGAGTTATTACTTTTTGCAGATGACGTGAAACTTTGGAGAGAGATATGCAACCAAGACGATACACAGGCAATTCAGGAGGATCTGACTCGACTTCAAAGTTGGGCAGACGAGAACGGACTTACCTTTAACACTTTAAAGTGTAAGGTAGTCCATCTGCGACACGTCTCAGATTACAGTTACAACTTAGAAAACTCCTCTATAGTAGTATCTCGAGTTGAAAAAGATTTAGGAGCCCTGGTGCCCTACGGAAACGCCTTTCGAGCAAACCTTGCACTGATAACATTGAACCGCATTTTTGTCAGCTCTACGGGAGAACTTTCCACGTGATCTTCAACAGTTTTATTCGTCCTCACTTACAGTGCTTAAACATAGTATTTTCCTCCCTCACTCCAAAAGGATAAGGTCACTCTGGAGCGTATCCAACAGCGATCCACGAAATCAGTTCGGGGACTCAAATTTAAACCTTATGAAGAGTGCCTCCAATCACTTGACTTTTACTCATTAGAGTATAGGCGTCTTAGAGGTGACCTTATAGCTTACAGTATCCTTAAAACTTCTGGATATCCAAATAAAAACCTAACTAAGCTTAGTCCCAACACTAACCTCAGGGGTAACACCCAGAAATTAGAGATACAACATAGTAGAATGGACTGCAGGCATAACTTCTATTCCTTAAGAGTTGTCAAATGCTGGCATTCGCTGCCGACCGAACTAGTTCATGCGACGTCTTGGGAGTCCTTTAGGAAGAAACTTGAGCTATTCTTAATGACTAAGGATAACATCCAATTATGAGTTAACAATTTCTTTTTTATTTCAATCTACCATACTTAACATACCTAGTTTCCTGCCTGCAGGTATTGATGATCTCCTGCTACTAAACACGGAAGCCGGTTAAGCGAAAGCTACTTCTATTCCGTTCACAACCATTTAAAACATTTGAATCCAAATATTAATTGCATGTAACCGATTTTCGTTCATAAAATTTGATAAATAATAGAGTAAAAATATAGGCTTAAACCCTACGACGATCAAAGCAAAGCTTTTTTCATCAATGAACAAGCCACGCTCAACGATTGTTTAAGTTCATCAAAATATTTAACACTTTACACTAAACATTTGTGGCATTTTAACCAGAGTCATACGATGGTCGCTTTCTGGATTTTCTATTTGTTTTTACATTTATTTTACACCACCAACGCATCACGTTTGCCAGATTATCCTTCTTACAATTCCGTAGACCAAGTAATATGGGCTGAAATATCTTCAAAAACTACGTTCTGTTGCAATTTAACATTCAAAGGTATTTTGCTTTATTTTAAAACGAGCATTAAATTTGCCATGTGAAAAGCTGTCAAGACAGATTTTTAAGTCATGAATCGCCATATGTAAGCATTTTTGGCCTCCTCCGTTAGTTTCTCTAAAATTATTGTTGTGGTATGTTATGTATGTTTACAATGATCCTACACATAACATTTCCTAACTGGCTCAACAATGTTGTTTCAAACGTCGACTTTTAATAAGCTTAACTCAAAGACCTAAATAATATTTGATTTCATACTTTTTTACTGTGGGGTTTAAATCCTATAGAGTTATAATCAACGGATCGCTTATCATGTATTTATTAACCTATACATTCCAACGAAGCACGACTAGATACAGTAAGCACAATAGATATCAAAAACGCGAAAACGATATCAACGGTACTGAGGTCTTAAATTTAGAAGTTTGGTATGAAAAAGGGTATTTACGAATGAATAATATTAACTAAATTATATGCGAGTATAAAAAGTGTACAAACCAACATCGCTGTGACCAGTCGTGTAGTAAAATAAATGCTTTCTAAGGGATATTTGTTTATTGATAGATTTACATGTACATTTGCCAAAAATATGTCAACCTCACTGAGTACTATATTTTTTAATTCTGTACAGTTTCACACCCCAATTTCCCGATTTCGGGGAAAATTTTATCCGTTTTGGGGAAATGTTGGGGAAGTTGCTATAAAACATTTTGGAGAAATAACACAAAATCCCAGAATTCTCCTGCACTGGAGAGATTGGGACGTAATACCTACTATGTATGGCTCTCTCAACTGCCAAAAAAATGAGATTTACTTAAATGATTTTTGTTGCTTGTCTAACCTTTAGTAGCTTATCTCATGATTGATCACAGTTATATTTCAGATAGGTATCACGTTTTTCACACATTTCTCTACGTTTTTCAGAATCAGAAGCATTGCAGTTGAGAGTGAATGACCAACGAATTTCTTCCTCAGTTAAAAGACCTGGGGAAGATGTTAAAAGATATATTTCCCCGTCAGCCAAAGCCTGGAGCATCAACGAGTCCGTCAAAAATGACATCTGTCTGACTAAAACCAATAATAATCCTGACGAAATAGAAAGTCCTCCCCAAATTATTTGCGAAAAATCTGCAGATTATGGTCTGGGAGAAACTTTGGAGAAAAAGTCTATTACTTTAAAGTTTTACGGTAAGTTAACAAAAGGCTGAAATAACTTATAAGTGATTCACTTGTCAAAGGCTGTAAGCATTACTAAATTATGATACACGTACCGTATAATTTTTCTGTTGTAACTCATTTCATATATTAGTATCATCAAACTTGTCACCCAAAAATGAAAATGTTCGCCTTATAAACGTGTATAAGAGTTACTTCTCGTTTGTTTTGTATTCAATTACTTTTTAAGGACGTGTGTTCAAATTAATATTGTTAAAGACCAGTCAAACTGTTTTAGCAATCTTTAGCTTTTGAAAAAAGTTTACATCTTACGCATCATGATCCGTTAAATACACTAAATTTTACAATATATCGTCTATCTATATCATATAAAAGTGACTTACCCATTATACTTGATAAACTTTTGACTCATAAAAACTTAATGAATTCATCTTGCACCAAGACTGATTTCGTCTTGCTAAGCAGAACCTTTTTTGTCACTTAAATTTAAACAGATAGCTTAAGGATTAGTTGGCTTAACCAATACCATAGTAGGTCTGTATCAAACATTTCCAGTGGCCTTTATATTTTATGTAAAGTCTTTTTACTTTCAAATACAGCAATACGTAGTCACAATCCAGAATTGTGTGATGGTTAAAAACCTATCAGATTAAGAGAACCTCTCATAACTTTAATGAGGCCTTGCATAATTTATAGAATTATTTATTTTACTGAAATGATGAAAGTCAACGGCAAAAACCCTCAAAAGAACACCCAACACTGACCACATAGTTACCAGTAAACTCATACATCATCCAAAGCTGTTCAGTTTCTCATGATTCTTTAATTTCTGATATGGTACATATATTATTGATCAACACTACGCCTTGAACCCAATTTTCGCGTGATTTGTCACCAGTTAGCACTATATATTTTCATCCTTCAAAGTAACTATATTCCCTTGAAAACCCGAAATGGCAATGATCAGTCTAACGGTTGAAACTGTCACCGTTTTCTTCTTAAGCCCATGCTAACTCAAGATCTCTTTAAATTTACTGTGAAATAAACATTCACTTGGTGATCAGTTCTTGTACTGTTACAAAATTTTCTGTCCAATTTTTTACAAATTGATGTGTACCTGTGTGTTTGTTTGTTTGCTAAAATACAAGTGTGCAGTGTTTTTGTAGTATTTTTATGTTCACATTACAAAGCTATTATCAAAAACCTTAAAACATGATAAATAATTCAATGTAGTACGACTATATGGGAATTACGTTTACAGTCACTTCAGTCTAAAAATATTTACTCAACAGAAATTCCTAAGACAAACCTATTAGAGATTCAATATTACGGGAATTCTCACATTATCTGTTGATAAATACATTCTCCGCTTGTTCTATAACTATGATTACAAAGGCAGCAGTTAATTTTAATTACTTGAATGGTTAATTATCAACTAATTCCGCCTTTCATGATCCTATAATGGGTTCTATTTTTCGTTTAATTTCAGAACAAGCTAAAATTGTTAAATTTCCAAAAAGTCTTAAATTCAGAGAAGGATCAAATCAGGTGATTGATTGCAGTGCTACTGGATTTCCTGACTTATATGTTGTCTGGCGCTTGAAGGTTAGTTATACACAGTAATTTGAGAAACATTCGAGTATATCTCATTTTTGATTACAATGTTTTTATTTTTACCATCGATTTCGGCAAAACATACTGATGACAGTATCTTTTTTAATATAGTTAAATTTCCTCTAGCTGAATTTAAACATATTAAAACAGTCTGTGTGTGACAAGTCAGGTTAAAATACATTATTATTAACGAGATCTGAATTATTGCATTATTGATTATCTTGATTCATCTTTATTGACATATGCTTCCCCTTTGTGCACTACCTTAATACAGTTATTTGTAAAAAATTTCACAAAAAAGATAAATTTATGGCTAGCAGTGGAAAACTATACTTGGGTTTCGTCATTTTCGAAACTTGTTAGATGGTTGTTCACTGAATTACTGATTGCGTCACCGACAGCGTAGGCAAAATATCCTTCTTCTAAACAAAGGACGACTTCAATGCTCATTAGTTTGCTCCATTCTACTTCATGGATGTAAAACATGAACACTAAGGGTAGAGGATATATCTATGATATTGGTATTCAAGCATATATGTCTTCGAAGCATTACACGTGTATTTTCGGACCACAGAGTAAACAGTGCCTGGGTTTGGAATAGAGTACTAGGTAAAGATTGCAAATCGATTGATGAGGCAGTAAATCTTCAACTGAGGATGTTGGGACATATGTTACGTATCCCCAACCACCACCCACCTAGATAAGCGATGTTTTCTGGTAAGGATAGATGCATTCCCTGTTGTCACCCAAATTACGAGATTCTAAACTTTTCATAATATTTTTTTCTGTTATTATTTCACCAACTTATATTTTCTTCCTGAATCGTATCTTCGGTGCGTAAACTTTCTTATTACCATTCATACTGCTACTACCTCTACTGTTCTAGAGTTCGGCCTAACAACTTCATCTCAATGTGTTAATGGTGGGTGACAACTTGAAACTATGTAAATAAATATAGGTGCCACATTGTGTCTCATTGACTGACTGAATCCAGATACCTACTCAACTGTTCAATGGGTTTATTATTTATATTATTATTGCAATTAATTTGAATTAGCCCGTTGTTGAAAACTTGGAGTACAACTGAGTCGATCTTTTGTCGGCATATATGCATCGTGTGAGAATTTCCTTGATATACCTGACGAGTGCTGAACATGACGAAACTGTTAGTCATGAGCCCATCTATTTTTACCAGAATATTTTTTTTCAGATAAGATTAGATTTTTCTGTATCAACGAAGAACACATCATATGACTTAAACGTCTCAATTAGATTTATTTTATTATTTACTTGAACACATAAATAGTGGTGCAAAGGAGAACCACATACATATGCGTCACACAAATCTCATTTGAGTTGTAGGAGCGCTGTGATACTGCCTATGTGCCTAAACCGAAGTAGGTGGTTTTCTATGGGGACCACACCCGGAGCCTTCGGCCTGGAGGTTTTATCCACAAGGCAGTGGAGCAACGTAAGGAGATGCAGTCCCGCGTTAGCTAGTGACCAACTATTGGTTCATACGTCATTTGTTCCCTCAGTATTCTGGAGCGCATCTGCACCATTGGTTCGGAATGAGGGTTTTTCAACTTCCCTGGGTGGACTCTCTGTGTCCACCAACGCGGTTAAAGTGCAGGATATTCGCTTTTCTTCCTCTCAATTTGGTAAAGAACACACCTGTGTTGCGAGAAGGCAGTGAGTAGGACTTCCGTGACAGAGACTATATACGTGTGGTCATGTGAGAGTATTTTGAGAGGGAGAGCGGACTCTTCCCACTCTCGGCCGTATCAGGGCACTTTAAGGGCAACACCACAGGAAATATTGGTGAATTTGAAAAATAATACTAATATTAATCCATCTTCCCCTATGGATGAAGATTAATAATATAAAGTTGTACTACTCAACCCATGTACAAATATCTGATTTTATCAATCTAGTTTATGTAAAACCCTGATTTCTATCATGAAACTAACCAAAAAAAATATATTTATAAATTCATATCAGACAAAAACAGAATTAGTTAAGTATTTTATCATCTTTATGTTTTTTTATCTTCATAAATAACTAATGTAACATCATCATTTTCATGTTTATTGCCTATAATAGAGACAAAGGAAGAGAAATGAATGAAACTTATTTTAATGTGTTTGACTGAAAAATAAACTTCCTCTCAGCTAACTAGAATTCATCATTTGAAAAAAAGTTAAAACAACGAATGTAGTAGAATGTGGTGAATACATTTTTATTTCATAGATTCTTATCAGTGGAATCCAAGACGCACGTTTCATCCTATTTGGAACTCGTCAGTTGAATGTATCTACTCTGGGACACCAACCCAGTACCATTCGCTTCAAAAGCCATCGCGTTATCAGCTTAGCTACTGAGTCTTAATAGGCACTTGCTTGTGCAATAGGTTAAAGTTTAAATTCACTTGATATTGTTTACTTGAACCTTCTCATTAGTGTTTTAGATTGCAATTGATCAGTTTCCATCAAATTTCGCTCTCCCTCTCACATGACCACACGTATATAGTCTCTGTCACGGAAGTCCTACTCACTGCCTTCTCGCAACACGGGTGTGTTCTTTACGAAATTGAGAGGAACAAAAGCAAATGTCCAGCACTTTAACCGTGTTGGTGGACATGGAGAGTACACAAATGAGCAATCGAAAACCCTGATTCCAAAACAATCGTGCATATGGGCTCCACAATACTGAGGGAACAAATGACGTATGAACTATTTATTGGTCACCGGCTACCATGGGACTACATCTCCCTACGTTGCTCCTTTGCATTTTGGATCAGACTTTTAGATCAAGGGCTCCAGGTGTGGTCCCCTAGGAAAACCACTTCGGTTTGAGCACCCGGTACGTATCACAGATCTCACACAAATCGAATGATGAAGTGTGGCGCATATGTATTTGGTGCCTCTTTGTACCAATATTTGTGTTCAAATAAATAAAATAAAATAATTAATCAGTTTCCTATTGGCATTACATGCGAAGATGATTATCTGAACGCAATAGACCAGTCGATAATGTTTCAAATGTTCTACTCTTCATTAAATGAATATCAACACTAGAATGTAGGCGCACATCCAATTGATAAATCCCAAATAAGTTGAAACTCACGTCCTGAATTTCATTTCTGACCTTGAATTATCACTAGACATAAAAGAAAACATCCTTAACACTCCCTATTGGTATATGATTATGTAATCAATCAATCGTGACGAATGAATCTAAACACTTTGAGAGTTTACTCTCATCCTTATCATACAGTTTGTCATAACTAAACAATATACATACATTTTCTATTCATTTATGTTTAAAAGTTTGGTATACTATGTTCACATGTTAATTCATCACCTTTTCTCTACCCCCCTTCCCCCACTTATACTTACTGGTTCCCATAAATCTATGAATGAAACAGGAAAATGAAAATAGAATAACTGTTATGTCGTTTTTTTGCCTGGTCGACCAGTAAATTAAAAAAAAGTGTTCCCATCGATTAACGAAGGGTTTTCCTCTGTGTGTGTGTGTGTGTATTGCCTTCTATCTATATTTTTGTTTACAATATCAGACATGAGTCTTTGAATATTTATGTGTATGTATGTTATGCATGAATATCATACAACTTGGCAATTTGTTATCATTTTATCTTTCTTCCCAATCTATATTATGGTTTAACTCAAAGAAATGTTAGAAATTAAGTAAGATTATCAATCATTTGATTATTTTCAAAAAGGGATTTTGTAGATATTATAGTAATTTTAATAATTGAGATTATGAGTCAATTGAAGCTAGATCATCATGATAAACTTGGAAGTACTAGATGGCCACTTCATCCTACTGTAGGACTCCTCACCACTGCGCACCTATGATCGCGCCTCGCGAGATTCGAACCCAGGACCTGTCAGTCTCGCGATATAGCGACACACTTACCATTGTTTTCGGTGATCTATTATCTCACAACAATAGTGGATGTGTCGCCCAATTTCATGGATTGATTGGAGTCCCACAGTAGGATGAAACGACCGTCCAGTGCTTCCAGGTTTTCCATAGTGATCTAACTTCAATTGACTCATGATCTCTTAAGTGGATTCACCAGTAGAGAGTCTTCAATTTTTTCTTATCTGTAACCATAGTAAATAGTATAATCGAATATCGAATATACAATAGAATAATTTTTAATGATTCTAAAGAATCGACAAAGGATTATCAGGGATGTCAATTATTCATTACTTAATAAACAGTCCTACTCACTGCCTACTTGAGGCGGTGTTGTTTCCGAAATTGTCAACATAAAAACGGTTATCCAGCACTTTAACGGGGTTGGTGGATATAGAAGACCAATCCAGGGCTGTTTCAAAACGCTGATTCCAAACCAATGGTAAACATGAACTACCATGATTCTGAGGGAAAGAATGGCGTATTAACGTACTGTCGGTCATCGACTACCATGGGACTGCATCTCCTAACGTTGCTCTAGTGCCTTGTGAATCAGACCCCTAGGTCAAAGCCTCTGGGTCTGGCTCCCTAAGAACCTACTTGCTTCGGGTTGGGCACTCGGGTAATATTTCATTCCTCACAGAAATCAATGATAGCTACTACTGATCTCATTGTTATTATGTGGCGCATATGTTTTTGGTGCCCCCTTGTTCAGCAGATCAAAAGCATAAACTTCCTTATAGCCTGGATCACTCGTAAAGATTTAAACGGACCTATCACAAGTCACACATTCATCCATAAAGTGATATCAAATACTCAAAAATATGTTAAACATAGTATTTCTTAAGTAAATTGACTTCTATATATACATTTGGTAAGTACTTTCTCACTACCCTTTAATGTGAGTAGTAATCACCATCGTTAAAAATATACACTAAGAATGGTTTTTAGTCATGTAAAGATAAAAGTATATTGTTATTGATATTGCGAATAGGTTTAACTTGAATATCAACTAAAAACCAGGGAACACTAGATAGCTACCTCAT